TAAAACCAGCTTATCAAAAACCTAAACAATCACAGAGTAATTTTACTTGACCCACAGAGTTTAGGTTAAACTTGATTTTAATATATGTTGTTTGCAATGTATATAGTTACTTTTATTAAATACTTGAATTAATTGAAATGATCATATGGCCAATATACACAAAACTATGAGATAATCTTTATCACATATCCTATAGATATAAACTTTGGGAAAACCGAAAATTAGCACTCCCATCCGCCTCTGCATGTTTCTTTCATCACATGACTTTGTATAGTAATCTACCGCCCAGAAAACAGGGTTTCTTCTGACAACTGAAGTTGATGTGTACTAAGTCCTTTGTTTATCAAGATAACGGACAAGTGTTACTGAGATAATAATACTCTGAGGTATTTACATTGATAACAGACCATAGGTTAGGAGTTGAATAGGAAAATGTTATATTTGTGTCTACAAGTTTGTCAAGAATTCATGAGATGTCTCATTATCGGTTGTAAACCAGTAAAAATATTTTACAGTTAAAAATTCATATTTTTTTACAATCAAATTTATTGATTTATCATCAATCAGACTAAATGAGACACAGATAAAAAGCTTTGTTTCTATGAAATAAATAATTGTCCTCTAAATTTACTGGTGAATCACTCCACTGATGAATGTATGCCATACTGTTAAGGCAGCTTTTGAAAAATATTTCATCAAATAGCTACAATTTACAACATTAATCATTGAAATATAAAAGCGAATTACTTCACTGTTTGTCCTGAAACTTTAATACCATGTCAGTCTTAGTTGATTTAAATCTAACGGGAATCATGGGGAAAATTCTGAAATGTTTCGATTCGACACTAGACCATTGTCATCAAACATATGAAAATGTAATATTTGTGACTGACACTGCAGGTTTAGATTTAAAATTCATGCTAATTATACAATTTGCTTCTCAACTGTAGTATTGTGTTACTGAAAAATGCAGATATTGCAACTAATGAGAAACAGTGAAAGTATTAAATTTCTCAATTACTGATGACACCCCGACTGAAAATGACAGTTGTTGACTGAAAACATTCATGGGGTTTTAATCATTAATCTATGTTACGTTTTCTATTGTGTACACGGGCTGCCATAACAGACAATCAAGGATGTTTTAAACAAACCTTTGGTGTTTCAATTTATTTGACCTCCCAAACAGTTCTGACCTCCAGTAGAAGTCATACAAAAATTTTTGAAGTTAAAATAATTCAAAACTTAACAGACACAGAAATTAAGGACACTATATATTGCAGAAGAAAGGCTAGAAAATCAACATTTTTAGAGAGAAAGAAAAATAATAGATAATTGGCCGCCTGGTGTATATATTTTTAACACTGTTGCCAATTTGTGATATCATGAATCATCGAAAACAAAACTGAAATCCGAGACGCATTTTAATAATGTTCATGTTCATTGTGTTCGTCAATAGCTGAAGATTTTTGCTGGAAAAACGAACAACTTTTAAGTTCATTTAGTTATAACAAAAACATTTGAGTCACCAAGCATAAATATTACCTACAATTAACGATAATAAACTGAGGCAACAAATGTTTTTGTCATCATGTACTGTTAGCTAGACATTAGCGTACATTCAATGCAGCCGGGAGAATCTTTATCCAAAAGTCATTAAGTCCAAATATCACTATGGACATTTAAGGGTTCATTAAGAGACGGAGAGGAAAAAGACATACATCCTGAGGGACAATCAATAACGAAAGTTTTCTCAATTGATGGTGTTTATATAACACAGTTGTGACGGCAACCCCGAGACGTTGTTATTAGTGCTGTCTTGATGGCTATTGGCTATCTAACGCACTCCGTCAGATTGTTTGGGATAAAATCCGTCGGCAAGGCAGACAGCTGCTAGGCACTGTCAACAAAAGCTAGCGTAATTGTTGTCCTACGGTAATTATTTGGGTAAAAAATCAAAACAGTCATTGAGAAAAAGTTGAGATATTTTCTGTTCTCAAGAAAAATTATTCAATACAGCTTTAATCTATATGGTTCCATATCGTTCTGTCAACGGGTCAGGTATTGATATTTGAAGAATATTGGACGTCTGCCGTGACTGTCTTTTGTGCCAGGTAACTAAATACTGCTGAAAGGGTGTAACAAAAGGCTAATCCCAGCGGACAAAGTGGAGGAGAGCTCTGACAATAGGCCATCGCTTACAGCCCACCGCGAGACCATACTGGAACAACACATTAATACAACGCACCAATCAAAAGCCACACTTTTATATCAATCCAGAAGAAACAATACCAGAAGGCTGATAAGGAAAGCCACAGTAGCCTTGATAGGGACGGAGAGTAATAATTTATGGCCTAGGAGTGCATTTTGATTATTATTTTCATGCATCAATAGATGATTTTTCTTTCTCAGAGTCTCATTGATTCAAAGATAAAGTTGTGGAGCGCTTTCACTGCTATGGAAACCGTGCAATGCTTAACTGCCATAGACAATAAGTTACACATTTCAATTAGCCTGACCGCTCAGGTAAATCAAACGTACGTTTGCCTGTCACAGTGGGCTATGTCTTTGGTTTGTTTGTCCGTCGCAGTGGGGCCCCCGCCTTGGTTCATCATCCATGACGCAGTCAAGAAGATGACTTGACAGGGTGTAATTCTAATGTCTTGTACACAAGAACAAGCCCGATGAAAGCACGGAACATTCTAATGATCTTAAAGCAGTATAAATCTGATACGTTACAGCAATTTGCGAAGGTTCAGGTGAAGAAATTTACCTGAACATATATATCTTCAGGTGATGGCTTCTGTTTGAATCTTAATGTACTTCTCATGTAGTGCTTATAATCTTTGAAATTGGCTGGTGACATTTAGATAATAAACCATGATTACCTGAAAGAAATTTAGTAGAATGTTTGCAGATCGTTGTGTATAATGAATGTAACAAGGATGGGGTACTGTACCCACAGGGCTCAACAATCATGGCCGGTACAGAGGCTGGGATATAAGTGATGAAGATAAACGCAGATAATATCTCATCCAAACTATTCCCCTTCTGCAGAATTCATTAAAAAGACAAGATAATTATGGTGTTGAGAAGTTGATAAGACAAGGACCATCATCACATACATCATCCTATAGGACTGGATATGGTAATTAGCCGGATAATACCACTGCATAAATCGACAGTAATTGCAGCAGACAATAAGGGCTACAGGTCGGCTAAAGCACCCTGTGTCTTCCTGTTGAAAGCCTCACTTTTTATGTTGTATTTATCTCATTATAATACCATTTGCTAGCTAACAACCACCTAATGGTGGTATCTGTCCCGGCCACTTTTGAACCCAATCCCACCAAATCTTGGGCTGGTCGGCCTACTTAGGGTACAAGGCAAATTACATTATAGTTACAATTCCGACAAGATTACACCGAGTAATTACGGCTCGAAAATCTAGTACACAATGAATGATTACACATATTAACTACTGGTATAGTCCCTGTTTCCTACAAACAATTAGGCTACTTTAGACTATATGGCATTTCTGTGTGAGAATAACTTGCATCCTAAAGTCATTCGTCAACATTTATAAATAAGGGGTTCTGTCATATCGGTTAATGAGTGGGAAATTAAGTGGACATTTGAATTAATTTATCAAAAAAATGATATTATCATTACAATTTGTTTTCATTAACAGAAATAACCACCTTCAGTACTCCATTCCTGACAAATGTTTTTTTACTCATTATCGTCTTTTTCATCTCTCTCGACCCCAGAGAGGCCTAGAAGTTTGGTTTGAGGAGGCACAACAGCATACACTCCTTCTTTGTGACCAAACTAATAGTTTTAAAAGAGATGAAGGGTTTCTTTGTTTTTTAATTCAATTTTACACATACTGTTATTATCCAACTACTGTGAAATCACCAATTTTCGTGGGTTTATATCTTGTTGATTTTGTGAGCAATCTTCATCTACGAATTCTCGGTCAACAAAATTACTACAAGTTTGACATAAAGCAATTCTCCGTTTTAATTGGTACTCGAAATCCATAAATTCATGTACCAGTGAAATGGTGTTTGTACAGGATACAACAAAATTTTGGGCCCCACAAAAAAATCTGATTTCACAGTAAATAATTCAATCCCTACTATGTCCATGTGAACATGTTTATTGACATACTCTCTAATCTGACCCTTGGGTTTCACGAATATTCATTAGCTTTGGTTATTTCCTTAACTTAGAAAGCAATGCTTTCCTAACAAGGAAATTTAGGAAAAATGCTGAAATTGACATTTTTTGAGAAACTGAAGCTTGGCTAACTGAATCAATCTCTTCTGATGTCAGCAAAGACAGATTTCCCTGTATTTTCCAAAACACAGTGGGTTTTTTTTTTTACCTAAAGGCTGGTTTGAATCTTCAGCTGATGAAGTACAAAGAATTTTGTTGAATTCAATCATTGTAATTTCTCACGAAAGTATAACCAATATCTAACAAATAATTGACGTTTATGGTTAACAGATTATTAATGGGTTTCCTTCATTGTTAATAAATAATTATGGTATAATTACTGTATCTAAATAGGCATATCAACAACTTGCTTCGATCTGCTACAAGACCTTTGAAATGAATTATCTTAAGATTGAATTCTCAATACATTGAAACTTTAAATTATGCAATACTGTATAATGAATTTGAATTTTGAAAAAAACCCACTTTTTTTTAAGACAGTTTCAACAGATTCAGATTCAACATTATTCAAACTTCAAATCCAAACATATTACCCAATCCGTTGTTTATGGAGCACAAAACTGTCGTAAACACTGATCGGAATCAAACAGATAAGTGTTTGCAATCCCAGAGGTTCTGTAACAGAAATGTTATCAAGACAACCCTAGATATATATCACCCCTATACATGTAAGCTATATGTATGCACACTAAGATCCCACCTACCTTACTTCGAGTTACTGCCGACTTCTAATATTTTGTTTTTCACAAAAAGGATATCATATGCACATGGCCGTTGTCGTAGCAATCCGAGCTATTGTCCAAACCTTCCGACTTCATCTGAAAGCTATCGGAGGGGGAGCAAGAGTGGATGGTGCTTGGAGATGGATGGTCAGCATGGAGAGGTGAGTGGTTTGATGAATGCATTTCTGAGAAGCCATATTCCCGTCCGTAGAAGTCGAATATGTTGGAATGTTGGAGGCCTGGATTAGGGATGGCCACGCTGGTTGGGAGAACTGGAGGAATCAGAGCCTGGTAGGCGGAGGTTGGAGGATGCTGATGGTGGTTATCGCTATCGTTGACATGGCCGAGCACCATGGGATCATGCCCTAGCAAGGCACGCGCGGCACGGGGGGACAGCCGTGTGTCTGTCACTTTGGTGCGCTTCTTTTTAGGTGTCTGGTTGACCACCAGTGGCAAAGCTTCTGTCTGCTCGGGCTCGACTCCCAAATGTGCTGTGGAATACATGGAGGGAGTGTGAAGCATTGTGGGAGGGAAGTATGAGAATGGAGGAAGAGGGAAAGGCAGAGGGTGATGAGAAGGGCCCCGTAGGAGGTCAGGCGTAAGTCCTCGTGGAGTTTCAAAGGCACTGGAGGTGTTGTTCTCCAGGACGCGTGCTATGTTTCCGATGTGATCATGGAATGGCTCACGGACTGGAGAACTCCGCATTCCAAATATTGGTTTGTCGTATGCCCTCATTTCAACTTTTTCTTTTACAGTTTTGATAGCACCGAAACCACTAACACTACTGTGACTACCGCCACTTGTTTGCTTTTTTTTTTGTTCCTTTTCTTTCGGTTTTTCAACAGTCTTACCAGATCCTTCCTTCATATATTTGTCTAACACTGTGTCTACGGTTGTGCTAACCACATCCACCAGCTGGGTCTTCAGCATGTTCGAGAAGTTGTGGATGTCCACTTGTTGCAGTGGGCCATTCTCGGTTGGTTTTGCCCCTTCCCTCGGCTCGTCAACACCAGCTACCAAGGAATTCTTCCGCTCATTATCGGATGCCGTTTTATGCATATTTGGTGGAGATGATGTTACGATATTACTTTTGTTGAGTAGTTTATTACAATTGTCTTTCTTGCTAACATGGTTTACATATCTCTCCTCCGGCCCATTCTTTTCACCATCATCCAATTGCGTGTTCTCCTCTGTGTAAAGATCCATGTAGCGTTTCTGTACATGCTGTAGCTGTTCTTGTAGCTGTAAAAGTTGATGTTGCAGTGCCATCTTCTCCAGTTTTCTATGTTTTCCTTCGGAATGCTCCAGCCATTTTGGCTGATATTGTTTACGCTTCTGTCGTCGGACCTCCAAATTGTTTGCACTGTTATTATCTGAGGGTATTGGCGACTGTCGCATGTTAGACAAAATGTTCTCGACACGTGCACGCTTTGCGGCGTTGCTGTTCTCTGTGACAAATATATCATTTTCATCACAATTATCCATGTCATAGCTATCCTCTCCTGCATTGGACTTTCTGTCTCCAGACATGCTGAAGTCACTCTCGTCACCCGATAAGTCTACAGAGTTTAGAGACCTACGGTCCATCTCCTCCCTGTATTCTTCCTCCATGTCATTCATGGCTGGTGTTTGCTCATTTAAATCTTGGTCATCTGACTGCTTGTCAGTCTTGATGTTGTTATTGTCGCCCATCTTGTCAGTCAGATGCTGGTCCTTGTGCTGAAGTATACCTCTCAAAAGCTGTGAAGTTTCGGTTATAACAGGGTCGCTTTTCACCATGTCAAGGCCGTTTGCTGTACTGTCAGAATTCTTTTCCAAATTTCGTGTCATAAAGGAATTTTTGTAGAAGAAATCGCCACAGCTTACTTTGGACAGCGCTTTATCCTGAGGTTCAATCAATTTTTCAGACTCTGTATCATCTTTTTCTCGAACAAACTTTGGAATATTGAGGTAGAAACCTTTATCCTGAAATCCGTTCTTAGGACTAGGACCTCTAGGGGAAGAATAGGAAAACTGTTCACCATTTAATATATGTCCCTGAGATGAGCTTGTCTCGAACACCGAGGTCATACCCAACGTGTGGTCAGTTTGGGCTTACTGGACACTGATAGCTCATCAGGCTGACCAAAGTACCTGAAAGGATATAAAATTCATGAATTAATTTAGAAACTGGATATCATAATAACAATACACAATAAAATTCAGGGATACTTGTTACCATGATACCAAGGGTGATCTCCCTTTGAAAAATAAACAACTAGCTAGGCTTAATGTGCTCACTCTGGAATATTGGAATGTTATAAAGTACATTAATATGTAATTATCTCCTGAACTTTTTTTCCATGTCAGAATTGTGATTCAAAAAACACATTTAACATATTTTAGAGAGAACTGACTTTTGAAATATCTTTATGATTAATGATATTGACAAAAAATATTTTTTTACTAATACAATGTCAATTTTTTTATTTTAATTATGTATTTACTTGATGTGTTCGAACTACATAAATACAATTTTATATTTTTAAAACAATATAATATTTTCTGCATAAAAAATACCTATGTTTTCACATCACATTTTATTTAAAATTTTCGGTTCTATGTTGATCATTGAAAGACAGGCTATGGTTTGTCCGCTTGATTTTGACAGATCCAACACAAATATTTTGACATCGTTCTTGCAGAATTGGTTTCAGTTGAATATTAAATTTCAGGCTACAATGTAGAGTTATTTGTACTAGTTTAGAGATTCTTTTAGTGACAAGTTATATACATGTACATACAATGCGAACTCACTGGTTATGGAGGCGCTGTACATTGATGTACAAATGGTTTTTATTTTTTTATTTTCTTTATTCTATCTTAATGAGTCTAGTCGGTCTATACAATTTTATTAAGAAATATTTTTCCAATATGCTTTTGTAAATCTGATAAAATTCAGACATGATTGAGATTATTGAAGAGCATTTGTAATTTGGATCTCCCAAATCTCCAGCATATTAATGGTCGTCTGGCAAACGGCTCAATTTTGCTCAGCTGCTAATCTTGAAATGCCAATATTTTCCTCTGTGACATTTAATTTCACATTAAGATAAACACATGTGCTTGAAAAAAAAATGGAAAAACATGATAAATACTATTTATGAGAATTAAAGAGATCTGCCTGTTTTAAAAATAGAAATGAATTATTCCATAACCAATATTTTCTTTTTAGAATATTAATGGAATATCAATTTCTGAAATGTATGAATGTTTCTGTAGTGCTGGCAAAGATGGAGGCAAAATGTTGCAAGCACCGGTCATAGAGTGCAATCAGTTTGTCCAACTTAGTTTGAACATGATTCAAATTTCCATCTTTAACAGTTTAAATGAACAAAACAAAATAAGAACAAGGATTTTATGTACTATCTCGTACTAAAGATGTCTGGCAAAATGTCTTCCAAGATGAAAATAAAAATGTATACCTGGGTATGCACAAAATCAGAGCCATATATGTGATATATATATACATCCTTGACAAAATGAATTTCTGAAAAGTAGCATGATGTAAATTGTGTTGGGTCTGGTTTCATTTCTTGAAACTGTAAAATATGAAAATTTTCTTTTAAAATTTAATTAATCTTTTAATCTGAACAATAAATACTGTTATACCAATTTATTTTTTACACGTTTTGTGTTTTATGAAGAGTTTCAATTAGCACAGCATCAGTCTTTTCACAAATGAATCAATTATATCAATACTTTATCATGTAGTGAACCATATTGCATTTGTGGTTCTTATTTTTATTATTTATAGTCAAAATACATCCATGAACATCCAGTAAAGATTATTGTTATTTCTAAGAAACAGTATACATATATTGGAATTCATTGTTAATAAACGTATTATCTCCAAAAAATAATAATCCTGAATAATATATAAAGCTGAATTTTACATGAAAATTGGTACCAGAAAAGTGTCTATGATAAACTTCATGTTATTTTGGTCCACCCTATGGATAAACTATATATTACTGTATATATAACTGTGGGTATAAAGTTTCTCCTTGTATGAAAAATAAGCTTGCTAGCTTATACACATACATATATGTGTAGAGAATAAAAATTCAGACCTAGCTATCGTCAGAAATTTCAATAAAATATTTATAAAATCAAAAACACATTTTTTTTTACATATCAACAATATATAAATATTTAGTTCTTTTTCTCAATAATTCATATCGGTGTTAAAAATTAGCAAGGACCACATCAGGCAACACTTAAATAATGGTTTTAACAAATGAAATAATTTGTTAGAGTAAGCACTTCTGACTTCATGGCATGTTCTTTCTAAATCATTATCAATAATTAAAATATAGGGATATAGAATTTGAAAAGTAGGCTTATAAGCAGACATGCATTAAAAACCTGTTTAAAACATAATGTGATGCATTTTAGGTTTGAAGGAGAAAGGAAATTTATTACAAATTTTGTTTCTAAAAACAATTAGTAAATTATGTACTTTAAGATATCATGTTAATATGTTATATTCTGAACACTTTTTATTTAATTTATTACCTCCCTTGTTTCAATCTATTTCAGTACAAAATAATCAAGAGAAACTGAATATACACAGTTTATTTTAGAAGAGACAGACTTTGATGCCAGAAGTGTTCAAATAAAAATAAGTTTATAACAACCCGGGTAAGCCCCCTTCCCCAACACATGCATAAAAAAATCCCACTTCAGAAATTCGGGAAAGGGGGAGAGAATTTCAATTCATCCATATATATGCATCCTATAGTATTTCTTTTAAATTTAACTCATTATTTTTATATTGAATAAATCTTAAGTTATGAATTATATACAGAGACTATCAAGCTTAAATACTAAAAATATAGGCGTTACTTTCTTTTAAAAATTACTTTATAAAGACCATTCAACTAATCTAATTCCGTGTTAGCACTATTCTTACTATTATTTTTACCCTGGTAAAAGACGCCCGACGTCGTACACACAACGATGACCAACGATTCTTTCTAACCATTGACAAGAATCCACTTTACAAGTATCGAGCAATTAATCTTGTCAACAGGTTCTTAAATTGTCCAAGAAAAGTCCAGATGTGCTCATGGAGTATCAGCGATGTTTTTGTTGAGGTGTGACCGTGATGATAGCCAGCCACCCCTCATCTCGAAATGACGATAAGTTACGTAAGATAAACCAAGACCTCTCCGTCACACAAAATAAACGGGGACACCTGGCTTAATTTCTCCAACTTCATTGACCGCGCTCTGTCAATTATGTGTGTGCGGGTCATTGTCTAGTTCTGCCCTCGGTACGGTGTATTTCTATAGCCATTACGCAGGTGAACAATTACCTACCTGAGTCGCGTGGCATTTCTTTATCAGATGAAGAGCTTGACATATCAGTCGCACTTTCCTACCTAATACCGTTGGCCGTGTTACCTTGATAACAAGACCTATTCTCGCCACACAAAGAACCATGCGCACCCGCGCCAATCAACTGTAACAACCCCTCACAGCGAAATAGACCGCATATCTTAAATTCTTAATCTTTAAAAGCCCGAAAGAGGACACACTGATAGTATAATTTCAAACTTGATTTAATCAGATTTAAATTGTTACACACACGAGAAAAAAAAAATCAATTTTCCAAATATTTTCTTTTGTTTCACACCTATTTTTGTCAGAACTAGATTGCAAATAATTACATCTAATATATATATATATGCAAAATTTGTTTTCTTAACAATTGGAATTACAAGAAGAGACAAATTATAGAATGACAGTGATTCGCCTATTTTTCATCTAATTTTAAAGATGGTTTTCTAGGCTTGGGGCTTCTCTGTAAATTTATACAGCTGTGATATGTTTGGCCAAGAACAAAGGCAAAATTTATTAAATACGTGACGTTCAGTTGAATGTACGTTCTTCCTACTAAAAGAGCGCTTTCTTAATAATTGAAATAAAATGTTAAAGATATTATTTTGATGCAAAACACGTATTTGTAAATAATTTTAAAGAATATATGAAATATAATAAATGTCATACATAAATTTGACTACAAACATCATCGTTATAAACAACAATACATTCGACAATTATCTTTTTATAACTTTTAACTGTGCATTTAAACAGATAGTGAAATAACCAGATCGTGGTGATCATGATTGGGTACTGATTATAATCAATTGATTAAAACGATCGATTTCTGGTGATTAAATACACAGAGAGAACCCATGTGATATTTTCTATTTTAATTTCTTGAGATATGACTTATCAAAATGACCTGACGGTGCAGGCGTGATCGGACAAAGTTCCTTCTGATTTACAGTGAGATTTATAGATATCAACTTTTAAATATAGAAAGGATGACGGTAGCACAGATTATGTAAATATACCTTTAATATTATCTAAATTTTATCAAAAGTGTGCCGTCAAGAAAATCTATTATTAATCATAAGGTAATGTGTATATACATGTAAACACAACTTTCAATAAAAGTTACACCGGTGTATGAAATAGATAATCGTTTCAGCTAAGGGAAATCTGTGAAAAATATCATGTCATGTTTTTCCTCAAGTTGTAAGACGTGACAGACTTCTCGAGAACTGTGAAAACCGACCCCGGTGTTTATTGCACGGAAATGTCTTATTACAAAACGGAACCGAGAAAATACGACACAACCTGACATTACTCACCGAGAAACATTGCCAAAGTGTCAAGCAAATTATTATCAATGTAATATATGTACTTACCGAAGAAATCCTTTCTTTAACCTGACTTGCCGGTAAATAGAAGTTACTATTTAATAGGTCTTTTTCCTGTCGGTAAGCTTATAATAGTGTCCAATATCTGTATGTATTATGTGTCCAATAACCACTGCTCATAAGATAGAATAATTTAACTTTTGTCGGATTTAATGTTTTAAATGAATTCCCTTCTGGAAAAAAATTACTAGTTTAAGACACAACCCACTACACGCGCCTCTCGCGAGCAGATGAAAATCCCATTCATTAACTACTCATGAAAACTCATCAAAGGCTTGTTCTGACAGCGGGCTTATTGGCCAGCCGTCTGTCAATGGTTGGGAACGCCCACAATTTAGCGGGCTCGCACCACAGATGATAATCATTCTAGCGATGACACAAAATGGTATTTTATTAGGGATATGATACCGAGGCCGGGTTTAAGGATGTCAATCATAGCTCCTCATTATTTAATAAACATCTCTCAGCCAGAAAATGGCCGAAAGACACGAAATGTCAGAAACGGGAAACGAACCAAATGCAAGCCGTGGCTTTTTACACGAGATTCGAATTTAAGAGGTTTTAAATGCCTACTTACATTGTGTAGTTAGTTCCCCTTTTAAGCAATTAGATGTTAAAATCATATATTATTTAAAATTCCAACTGGTCACCATTAAAAAAATATTTTATATACATGTATATTTTACCTAAAGAAAATCTAAAAATCATTTTTTTATTATCTTTTTGCTGACCAAGACAATGATAGAATTTTCTTTGTCTTGTTATCTTTCATATCTTTAATTGTTATTTAGCTTTTGAAAAGATTGTTATTGACAAAATTCAGCTTACGTGATTGCAAAACCAGTATAATTTGAAAGATGTCTTCACATCAAATAAGGCGGTATATGGTTTCCGAGTCGTATAACATTGAACAGTTATAGTGTCCGACATTAAAAAGGTCAAAATAAAGATATTGACTTGTTACTTATATATATATATATATATATAGTATGCTCTCTTAATCCTCGTTTGTAAAATAAACAGTATCGCTTTGTAATTGATGAAAAGATATATGGTTTAACTCCTCATACCGTTCATCATGATTTAACTTGTATAAGAGTTTGATTCCCGAATCAATTATAGTAATACCACTGAGAACCATGGCGCTAATAGAATACATTTACGGTGCAGAGACATATAAACCGTGATATAACGACCGTCTTCGATGAAATTTCATTTCATTTTGTAGCAATACGATATACATGTTAAACATCTTTTGGTAAAATTTGTCTTTTTTTTCGTATCTTGCAATTTACTTGGGATAAAACTTAAGACATACATTTCACCTATGTTTTTGAACGATTAGAGCCCGACGTCGTTTCATTACACCGGGTATTACATGTTAGACGTCATTTTATTAGCGAACTACGGAAGACATCTTAAAAGTTACAAAGAGCTAGATAAATCATTATCGTGCATAAACTGAAATCATTTTTTTCTGTATCCAGCGATGTCATAGGGATATGTGAATACTTTATAAAATCTGTTACACAAATTTTAGTTGTTTTAATTTCAAATGCACATAAGCTCATTTTTCTTCCTTCCTTCTTTCCTTTCTTATACCTCCGAAAATTGGAATAAACAGTTGATGTAAATATTGTGTGATACTATGTAAATAATTTTGAATGTATTAGTTATGGAGGGTATTATAGCTTGGTTAAACTGTGACCAATCCATTTGGTTGAAATGAAACATGTAAACGAACGAAGGAAATGTATAATTATGGTATTAATTAATTATACCTAATATGGATCAAAAGACCTAATTAACATCGTTATAGCTGGTGTCTATAAACATATAGCATTATCAGGATAATAACACATGTATATATCCTGAAAATAATTTAGCATGTCTTTTTATTGAAAGTTCAATGCGCGGACTTCAGCTAATTCGATGTTCAATGTAAGATAACGGAAAAGTAATTATAGTCTTTCAATTAAATGTATCGTGCACCCGTTATACTTGTTAGTTCTGTGACATTATTATTGATACAGTGATAACACCTTGAAAAAATAGAGAATGTCTTACCATGAAATATTTAAACACGCAGAAATATAAGCTAATATGTCTTACCTTTACTAACACCGTCCTCGCACTTTACCGATTTCCAAGATGACAAATACTACAATGAACTTTGACCCATTTATACGCATGCGCCCAGCTCTTTTCAATATGGCTGCCATGCTGGTGCAAGGGTCGAAGTGTTTACCAAGATATGTGTGTAGATTGACACTATTAAGAAACTCACCATGGAAAAGGAAGGCAAGTTGGGACAAAATTGAATTCTTCATCAAATACAGAACACATCTTTATTCATGTTACTGCAATACATTCCAGAAATGCTTGTAAACAAAGATTAATTCCAGTGACCCCCTTGAAGGACAGCCTAATATTACCGGCTCCTGCTAAATGAAAACAAGATACAAAAAACAATTGTAATATTGCATTTGGAAAGAAATCTTGTTCTTTTGTGGAATACACAGTTCCATAAATATACATTGTGGAATACACAGTTCCATAAATATACATTGTGGAATACACAGTTCCATAAATATTCAATTACGCCGAAATCTAGCATGTCATTGCGAGTAATTTCATCATATATAGGGTCGGTGAGAAAGACCTCGGGCAGTTAGATCTATTTTTGTGCCCAGACTAAATTATTCAATGAATTCCTCTGATATTCAATAACTTGAAAATAACATTGTTAATAATTATACATTAATGAATTGCGAAAATACACAGTAGGAGGGGAGAAAAAACCGGTTATGGCTATGATTGAAGGGAGGCAACCCGAAGTGTACCTTTAAGAGTTGGTCCATAATCAATACACTACAGGTATCAAATATATATATCATACAATGGGAACTTATGACACCCTCTCATTAACCAATACTCAGCCACCTCTCATTAACCAATACTCAGCCACGATATGGGCAAAACAGTACCTTAACTTCTTGGGTAAACATTTATTTTCGTTACAACTTGGGTCTAAAGCACTGCTGAGTAAATAAACTGATGTGAAAAAAAAGTTATAGAAATATGTTAAGAAAAACTGAAATTCCTTGTAACTTGTCGACAAATTACATTTATTTTTATGTTCCTGTAACATTTGCTAGCTTTTTTCTCTACGATCAATCTGTCCGACAACTTGGTTGATCTCTGCAGATGCATCTTGAGGAGGACTACGTCAAATTCAATATATAATGTAGGTCACTGTGACCTGACCTATAAGGCTTTATTATATGTATATAATACTTTTTCTTAAAGAGTGTCGGTGAAAACAAAAACACACCATTATTTAATGTCAGTATAAATGTGTTTTTCTCCCTGTAGGCAGAAATGCAAGGCCTAAAAATAAAAAAGAGTGGTAGACTATACCTGCAGTACGGTGAATGTATTTTATTCTAATTTGTTCATAAATGATCCCTGCTAGACTAGCCCATAGGAATTCAATATTAAATATTGAGAGGGTTTGGCCAGGCTCTAGCAGAAGTAAAGGTGGACCAAACAGTGTTTAAAGACCTCTTCGATTTTAACCTTTTTTATTACAAAGCATATATACTTCCTTGGGTCGAGGCCTAGAAGAGTCATGAAACCACTGTGTAAAAAAGTCTCACCGTAATTGAAGGAGAAAGTCTGAAATTGCTGTGTACTTATGACATAGATTAAAACAAAAATAGACATTAATACAAATTGTTACAAAAAAGATAACACATATTTACTGCATGACCAATGATCCATGTTGATCATTCAAAGGGAGGGAACTCTTAAGTGTGTATCTTACCTTTAACCTTTCAAGACGTTTCATTAGCATTCATATGTATTACTAAATCAAATTGTATTAAATATTGAGTTGAATATTATCATATACATATGTGACATTGTTATTCTTGTAGCTTGAGTGGTATATATGGTCCTTATGAGAAATTCAATGGATAAGAATTAAGATCTGATGTGAAATCTGTGGTGTAAACATACAAAGCTATTTTGTTATGTTCATACTACATAGGAAACGTTACAATCATAGTCTATTTCATATCTAAAACCAAAAACGTATTTTGCGGAAACTGTTCTATGAACCAATCCAATAACAGCCAAGCATTCAGTCTGCACTGTCAGTATGAGTCAAATGACCCAATAAATCCTGAAGCGATTTTAAATGGCTCTGCTGAAAAAAGGCCAACAGAGGATTTTAGGCTGAATATAGGAATAAAGGCATGAGATTTAAAGACTAGTTACTAAAATGGACTTGTTGAAGTTGTTCTCAGCTTATATTAATTCCAAACTTTTGATATGTTCTTGGGTTGCATTTCTGCCATTCTTCTTTTGATATATATTTCACATTCAACATAATATCACACCAGGTGATCATGAGCTATCGAGGCCCTTGGGGCTGTTAGATTTGCTTGTATTTGATATGGGGACGGCGTCATTGTGAACACTACAAAGACCACACAATTTCTACTGCAACGTCAAACTGGAGACAAACTGGAGACAAGCTGGGCAAAGATCAATAACAACATATCATAGATATACTGATAAAAACACAAAAAGAAAGATGTAAATGATATAATGGTCAACAGAAATTGTAATGCCTGTCTGTAGACGAAGTGTGTGACCACGATGGAGTCATTAGCGCCACATTACGGGGACAGGTTTTGAGACGGCCATTTATTTAGCAAGGAAATGGTAATGGAAGACCCTTTCCTTGATTCTATTTACACTCTTTATGAAGCAGACATTTACCATATCTTTTTTCGCTCTTAAAAGGAAATGTCGTTCCGGTCATATTTCTTTATTTTCCCTTGCATGTATGAATAATATGACTTTTAAGTTGGCAAAGTAAGTGGAATACAGGGCTGTAAGGGATTGGCTTTTACTTCCATCGTAACTCCTTGTCAAAACATGAAAAATTCAGCTGTCGTAACAGAAGACTAACGTGTGACGTTTTGTGGGTCCCTGGGGAGTCACACAATTTCGAACTAACATGACCCAGTGTCTGACAGTTGACAAACTACTGACTTTGGTGGTGCCACTAGAACTAGCTATAAGTTACATAGGTATAGATATACATTACGAAAGAATGTGTTTTCGTCAGACGTTTCTTCCGGTACATATATATGAAAAAGACATTCGAGAACATAAATTGAATAACAAAAAATTGTAATTTTATTGGTACGGTTTGTTTATTTCAAAATAGCATAATCATGGCTGTCTGTAAGTGGCTATAATAAAGAGCATTATTGATTCGGAGCCTGATCAGAGAACAAAATTCATAGACAGTTTCTCATGTTATATTTCATTTGCCACTTACGTTTTAATTATTAATCCGGAGAAGTGAGACATCTACTTTTGTCACGCAGGTTAAGATATACGTTCTATATGTGCTAAACATTCTAGAGCATTTAATACATAGAGAGGCTTCAAATTATGTTCAGTTTTTAAAATGCACAAATTTCTACGTAAAATTTAATTTAAATGTATTGTCAGTTGAGTACTTATTAGAACATAATTAACATCCGGCAATTGTCAATGGACTTCAAAATTAAAAAAATATATCTCTAGTTTAGTGAAAGCCGTAAACAAAACTTCAGGTTATCATTTTATTGTTGCCTTTATAATAAAAATACAGATTTTAGAATATATATAATTATATATATCTTCATTAATGGAGATGTGTTGACTTCCATGTGTATTGCAAAAACTGTTCATGTCAAATTGTCTCGGGTAATTTGAAATGTTCATTCTTTATTTATTATTGAGGATTATAAGACCGTGGAAATATTGAGAAACATCGATGTAGGTCAGTGCCCTCGTTGTATATAATTTTGTAGGTTGTGTGTTAATTCTGTCAGAATTATTGATGATTTTACAATGACTTGTTTTAATGTATGCTTATAGGATTCGGGAAATGACTGCGAAGTTTTTTCGTCAGTAAGTCATGAGTTAGAAGTAACACATTGTTTCTCTTGTGTTGTAGATCAATAACTTTGCTAAAGAGAAGCATCCTTTGAGTGGTAAGTAAGTTCACTGACATCTTCGATTCAAGATAAAAGAAAATACAGGATTCTTCAGTGTGTTTCTATTTTGTGTGATATGAAAGCGTGGTTGTAATTTATTCAAATGACATATAAAAACAACACGGTACTAGCTATTTATTGAAGAAACTTGTTCACGCAATTTTGCCTGCATTTATTCCCCATGAACATTAACGAAGACGAGAGAAATACATGATTAACGCGTGTACTTTACTGGTCCTCACTGAAAGCTTTATGTAAATGCTTCCTTTTATTGATGATGTCTTATCTCACGCCACAAGTTAACACGCTACTTTCACTCTCTCTCTGTCAAACTGGAAAGATCAATTAATTTTGTGATGTGATAACGATCGGCCATTGCGTAGAATGATTTGAAAGTCTTCGGCAAGTATTTTGAGTCATTAGCTTTCAATACATTGTCTTGCCTCGTTTATATATATAGGGTGTTTATGATTATGTGAGAGAAGAGCTTAGGGAACAGATTCAGCAATATGGCAGTAATCTGGCAACCTTGTAACACAATCTACAGATACACATGGCAAAGACTTCGTTGGTGAAATTGATAAATTGATACATGAAGCCTGTTGCTGTAGTATTAGTACTTGTGATGAATCTGTAATTTTGGACTGAAGGAATTAAGTCACTTCTAAGGGATTTATCTCTCCCCAAACTTCCTTGAAGGGATTTATCTCTCCCCAACTGCCTTTAAGGGATTTATCTCTCCTCAATTCTCCTTTAAGGGATTTTCTCCTCAAACTGCATTTAAGGGATTTATCTCTCCCCAACTTCCTTGAAGGGATTTATCTCTCCCCAACCTTCCTTGAAGGGATTTATCTCTCCCCAACTGCCTTTAAGGGATTTATCTCTCCTCAATTCTCCTTTAAGGGATTTTCTCCTCAAACTGCATTTAAGGGATTTATCTCTCCCCAACTTCCTTGAAGGGATTTATCTCTCCCCAACTGCCTTTAAGGGATTTATCTCTCCTCAATTCTCCTTTAAGGGATTTTCTCCTCAAACTGCATTTAAGGGATTTATCTCTCCCATACTGCCTTTAAGGGATTTATCTCTCCCCAACTTCCTTGAAGGGATTTATCTCTCCCCAAACTTCCTTGAAGGGATTTATCTCTCCCCAACTGCCTTTAAGGGATTTATCTCTCCTCAATTCTCCTTTAAGGGATTTTCTCCTCAAACTGCATTTAAGGGATTTATCTCTCCCCAACTTCCTTGAAGGGATTTATCTCTCCCCAAACTTCCTTGAAGGGATTTATCTCTCCCCAACTGCCTTTAAGGGATTTATCTCTCCTCAATTCTCCTTTAAGGGATTTTCTCCCCAAACTGCCTTTAAGGGATTTGTCTCTCCCCAACTTCCTTGAAGGGATTTATCTCTCCCCAGACTTCCTTTAAGGGATTTATTTCTCCCCAAACTTACTTTAAGGGATTTATTTCTCCCCAAACTTACTTTAAGGGATTTATCTCTCCCCAAACTTCTTTTTAAGGGATTTATCTCTCCCCAAACCTCCTTGAAGAGATTTATCTCTCCTCAATTTCCTTTAAGGGATTTACCTCTCCTCAATTCTCCTTTAAGGATTCCTGTACGTACCACTGCGTAAAAAGTGAAAACTGTTATTTTCCGAAAACATTATAGCTTTGGTAAATCATTTCAAAAAAGAAAACAAAACCTTGCGGGACTTTTATGAGAAATAATTAAAAATGAAAAGCACAAAATATAATCAATAACATTTTTTGGGGTGTAAAATGGCAGTGCAGGGCTGCTCGCCATTAGAACCCTGGACTTCAGAATGTTCTACTACAGCTCAAACTGACTGAGATACCTGGTATGTAGTGCAGTGGGACAGGGATCCTTAAGTTCATTCATCAGTCTTTTCCACAATTAAAGATCAGCACCCTTTTTTCTCAGTTTGTTGTGATAAATTCCCAGAATCATTTTTTAAAAGTTTTCTTACATTTCAGTTATTTACACTATACAAATTATTTATCAAGATATGTATAATTGAAATTCCTGATTATAGAATTTTTTTAAATTGCTAAAACATTACAAACACATCAATTTTCATAGTTTTGCTAATTTAAACAAAGAATGGACCCAGTGCCTATTTCCTGATGAATTCCTGTGTACAGTTTATGGATTCCACAGAGTAATGTCCCTGAAGTATAGTTGATGTTGGTTGATTCAGTTTTGAGACTGAAAATTCTGAAAAGATTGCAGAAAGGAATGATCTCTTGTTTTAGGATCCAGACGGGCAGCATCATTGAAACAGTGTGAAAACCTGAAACTGTGAGTTTTTGTGGAAAAGTTTATTTGATTTGTGCAGAGGGACCCACATACATTGTATTTACTATATCTGATGCTTTAAGAAAAATACTGTATTTGTGTCAGGATTTTTGAAAAAAACCAACGCCAGGGCGTTGGCAATAAATGTAATTTTTTGTTTGTGAAATGATTACAATCAACATAGTTGCAATGATTATTATGCAAAACACATTTGAAATGATCAAAAGTTTTCACCATAAATTTTTTTATATATTTAAAGAGTTATGAAATAAACGTTTAATTTTATTTTTACCAATGTCATAATACTGATTTTATATTCTTAAAACTGTTAACAAAGACCAGTGGATCTGCTCCAAGTCCATCAAGTGGTCTACCATGTAGTTGGTCTGTTCATACAGGTTCAGCTAAAATTAAAAATCACTAATAACGGGGAACATTGCATCTGTACATAACGGTACAATCAGATAATATTGCTATATGATTTAATCATTGTGTACACAGAAAAAAATTCTCCCAAAACTACTTCAATTTTGGGCCATTACCACATGTGGGTCTCGTGTTTGGAGTGTTTCATTGGTTTCTATCAATAGACAGATCATGACCTTTCTAGCAACTTTGATTGTACTTGTTATGTAATGAAGCTCTACAATTGTTTTTCCGAGTTGGTAACTGGAGTTAAACAGACATAGACTTTCAAACATGATGTCATTGTTTTGGGAGAAAAGGGTCCTCTAAATCTTCATATTTGCTTTTCATTTTTTTTTTTTATCTAACTTGAGTTTGTTTATTAGAAAAAGTAAAAGACATGAAGTTTAAGAGTGTATTTTAAATTTCTTAAAATTAATTAAATTACATAGTTTGTATTGAATTCCCTATACCTTTTTATCTGTTTTTTATACATGTACATGTTCTACACATATTTCATTCTTATACACTTTATTACAATTGAAGGAGTAACATTTTTTGGAAGGGGTTTTATTGAATTCTGCTCGCTAATAAACAAAGGAAACTGAATTATGTATTAATAAAGGGTAAACATCCTGCTACCAATGTTGATAACTTCTTTAATTGTGAAAAGTTGGAAGGGTGGGGATTGGGCGAGAAGTAGTTTATGTTGGTTAGTTGGAGCAATGTCATAGTTTCATTTCCTGATTTTGCAGATTACAGAATATTTCGAAGCTTCAAGTTGGATCCGGAGGTAGACGTAGTTTCCATCAGTCCGCAGTATTTTGTAAGTACGGTAATAGTCTGGATTTTACAGATCTCAATTCTATCGTCTTGTTAGTAATTAATTGAAATGTTGTACAACGTCACAAGCCATATCTCATTTTATTCATCTGGACAAGTTGGAATAACAATACCGATACATCCCAGAATGTTCCAACTTCCATCAAAATTGACACAGTGACATCCAGTGGAAATTTGCATGTACAAAGTTTTCAGAATCCACATAAAATTTAGGTGGTCGCTATGAGAACTTTAGAGTGTATTACGCATATGATGTAATAGGGATTGTTTTAGAAACTCAAATAACTTATGCAGATGAGGTTGATGATGCTTGGTTTATATATATATTCAGATAAATCGGATTGCAATCTGATGATAGATTGATTTTAGATTATTACTTAAAATTACTGTGATGATTGTGAAACATCAGATTGTTATGTGTAGACATGCCTCATCACAGAAAATGGGCTCTAATACACATAAGTTTGGGTGACACCTAAACCATGTGTTTGTAAACTATATCCACACTAATGTTAAAAGTTTTATGAATTATTGAATATCATTTTTTACAATTCCCACTAACAGGTGATGAGTTTAAGATTGTCAACACACCTCAGTTTGCTGAGTCGGTGACAGAGGGAGATGTCCGCTGGGAAAAGGGTAAGGACTTGTTGTCTATTACTGGGGAGATGTCCGCTGGGAAAAGGGTAAGAACTTGTTGTTTATTACTTTGTGGACAACAGGGGTCACTGATCATGAGAAGAAGGTAAAGAGCTACCCTATGGAGGGTTTGCTTGGGAAAAGCTACAGACTGCATGTAGTGGGTGTTTTTGAGATAATAAGGATTTTTTCATGGGGGAGGGGGGCACTGGAAAATAAAAAATAAAAATAAAAACTGGTTTTTGCTTTCATGTAGAGAATGGCAATCAATGATAAATAGGTCAAAGTTTTGATTCAGGATCATGGACAATGAAAGAAATTGTTCTGAGCTTGATGGCATTAAATTGACCATATATTGGCCCGAATGACCTCTTCAGTGTTGATTTACTGTTAAGAATGTAGTGATGACAATGAAGCATATTTATGATACCATCTTGGTAATCACACAGGAAATATCTATATCGGTCTATCCCACCGACTTGAAAATGATGTGTGGATGGGCAATTATTCATCAAAGCCAAAAGGATGTTATTTTCAATAATATGAATAAAAATAAAAAAGAGAAATAAAACACAAATTTGTTCAGTAACAAAGAATGACAAGGTGGCAGATAGCAAGAACATCTGTTTCAAGAAATGACTTGTGTATTTATAATTTTCAAGAAATCATAAATCATTTATTTACAGCTGTGGGAGACTATGTGAAAGAAGACGAAGTTGTCTGCGAGATTGAGACAGATAAGGTGAGTTATCATTAAACGGAGATGATCTCTCTCGTATCTATACCAGATAGAGTTGTGAGAAATGTCTGTTTCATGGGACCATGTACATGTGACTTTGATAGCAGATTGTTAGAGACTGGACTTATCAGACTTATCAGATGGGAGATAACCAGGGTAGTTGAGATCCCAATCTGAAATTCTTAAAAATGTTAATTAACTCAAATAATCTGTTCAATTTTGCCAGTTTCCTCAATTTCTAAATTTTAACAATGCATGTTTTGTTATGTCAACCAAAGTTATTTCCTGGTATAAAACCACATCTTATTTATTGTTGAAATATGAAAGGAAGATATTGACTACGAAAATTGCAGCCAACTTAGTGCTGAACATTTTTGCCAGGCAGTTAGAAAGCCTTGTGCCTTGCTAACAGTGATTTTAGCTATTGAAAGGATTTTAAACACAATAAAACCAAACCTCGCAGGCAATGGCATGTGGACATTTTGTGGTCTGGTCTAAGGGGAGACAACTTTCATTCATAAGTTTTGTTAATACATCTTTTATCAGGTTTTATAGCGCAGGGAATAAAGTGTTGTGACATTATTTGTAGTTACCGTCAACTGTTGAAATTTTGTACAGACTGGTCTAAGGGGAGACAACTTTTGTTAAGAGGCTTGCCAAGCTTTTATCAAGTTTCATTGAACAGGGAATAAAGTGCTGTGCCATTATTTGTAGACATCCATCTCAGTGCCCAGTCCTGCAGCAGGCTATGTGGAAGAGCTGTTTGTTCCAGATGGAGAGAGGGTGGAGCCTGGTCAACAACTCTTCAAACTCAAACTCTCGGGTCAGTCAAACTCAAACTCCCGGGTCAGTCAGACTCAAATTCCCGGGTCAGTCAGACTCAAACTCTCGGGTCAGTCAGACTCAAACTCCCGGGTCAGTCAGACTCAAACTCCCGTGTCAGTCAGACTCAAACTCCCGTGTCAGTCAGACTCAAACTCTCAGGTCAGTCAGGCTCAAACTCTCGGGTCAGTCAGACGCAAACTCCCGGGTCAATCAGACTCAAACTCCCGGGTCAATCAGACTCAAACTCCCGGGTCAATCAGACTCAAACTCCCGGGTCAATCAGACTCAAACTCCCGGGTCAGTCAGACTCAAACTCCCGGGTCAATCAGACTCAAACTCCCGGGTCAATCAGACTCAAACTTTCAGGTCAGTCAGACTCAAACTCTCAGGTCAGTCAGACTCAAACTCTCAGGTCAATCAGACTCAAACTCTCGGGGCAGTCAGACTCAAACTCTCGGGGCAGTCAGACTCAAACTCTAGGGTCAGTCAGACTCAAACTCTAGGGTCAGTCAGACTCATACTCCCTGGACAGTCAGACTCAAACTCCCGGGTCAGTCAGACTCAAATTCCCGGGTCAGTCAGACTCAAACTCTCAGGTCAGTCAGACTCAAACTCCCGCGTCAGTCAGACTCAAACTCCCATGTCAGTCAGACTCAAACTCCCATGTCAGTCAGACTCAAACTCCTGGGTCAGTCAGACTCAAATTGCCGGGTCAGTCAGACTCAAACTCTCAGGTCAGTCAGACTCAAACTCCCGCGTCAGTCAGACTCAAAGTCCCATGTCAGTCAGACTCAAACTCCCGGGTCAGTCAGACTCAAACTCCCGTGTCAGTTAGACTCAAACTCTCCGGTCAGTCACACTCAAACTCCCAGGTCAGTCAGACTCAAACTCCCGTGTCAGTCAGACTCAAACTCTCAGGGCAGTCAGACTCAAACTCTCAGGGCAGTCAGACTCAAACTCTCAGGTCAGTCAGACTTAAACTCTCGGGTCAGTCAGACTCAATTTCCTGGGTCAGTCAGACTCAAACTCCCGGGTCAGTCAGACTCAAACTCCCGTGTCAGTCAGACTCAAACTCTCAGGGCACTCAGACTCAAACTCTCAGGTCAGTCAGACTCAAACTCCCAGGGCAGTCAGACTCAAACTCCCGGGGCAATCAGACTCAAACTCCCAGGTCATTCACACTCAAACTTCTGGGTCAGACAGACTCAAACTCCCAGGTCAATCAGACTCAAACTTTCAGGTCAGTCAGACTCAAGCTCTCAGGTCAATCAGACTCAAACTCTCGGGGCAGTCAGACTCAAACTCCCGGGTCAATCAGACTCAAACTCCCAGGTCAGTCACACTCAAACTTCTGGGTCAGTCAGACTCAAACTCCCAGGTCAATCAGACTCAAACTCTCGGGGCAGTCAGACTCAAACTCTCGGGGCAGTCAGACTCAAACTCTAGGGTCAGTCAGACTCAAACTCTAGGGTCAGTCAGACTCATACTCCCTGGACAGTCAGACTCAAACTCCCGGGTCAGTGAGACTCAAACTCTCGGGTCAGTCAGACAGGCAGCTGCCTGATATATTGATATCACTGTTGATCTGACGAAGCATTGGATTCAAAAGTTCACTGAGCTGAGTATGAATACTGACTGAGGGCAGTTCATTGAGCTTCTTATTCAGTTGTACAGTCATACAATTGCTGAGGTGTTATTGATTCAAATATGTACAGAAGGGTCAAAAAGGGGTAACAATATTTGCATTTTAGCCATTCACATATCAGCATGAAGCAACAAGTTTGTAGGGGTTCCAAGTAGCAAAGAGATATGTTTTGCACATTCTATACAATATCACTATTCTTGCCTGCTGTAGCCGGGCACCCAGGTTTTAAAGAGGCCAACATCTTGCGATGGCCACAGAGCTATATATGCCTTAGCTCCTTTGAACTATTCACCGTAGCTTGGGTCAGAGATTCTTTTATTATAAACTGACACTTCCTAATCAAAACTCATAAACCATAGAATGGTACAATATGGAACTGGCCCATGGATATGGATGCATAATGCATGAACAAAATTTCAGGTCACTTATTAGAGGTCAAGGTCACTTGCTATAAATACTATTCTAAATTATCATTATTGAGGGGCTAATGTCATGGTTGCTATTGTAATTCAAAAGAAAGAGAGAAGTTGTTATCAGATAAAGTCTAGCCAAATTTTCCTGTTAAATTGTTTGACAGCCTTTTGGTTTTTTAAACAAACAAAATATTTGAGCATAACTAGGATTGTATCATTATGAAAATATTTGGTTACAGGTGATGCTCCAGCTGGCGGTACAGAAAAAGTGGCAGATGCCCCAGCCCCTACTGAAACAGCTGCACCTGCATCATCAGCACCTCCAGCTGCTGCAACAGGAAGTGGCCCTATCCCCACCACGCCTCCACCAGTACAGCCTCTGCCATCCGGACCCACTGCATCTGTCCCTGTAGCGGCCATTAAACCCACACCAGCCACTCCTCAGGGCGCCAGTGTACCTGCAGAAGGAGCCAGGACAGAAACCAGGGTAGGAAACAGGATTACCTATATATTCATGAAAGGACGTTTTTGGTTCTAAATGAACAACAGTTATATTAATTTTGACAAATTTTGCCCTCGTCCTGTCGTGTGTCGTGTCCTGTCCTGTCCTGTCCTGTCCTGTCCTGTGTCCTGTCCTGTACTATCCTATCCTATCACAAGTCATTGTTATGATTTCATTTCTTAACATACTTTCATTGATGTTTATACTAAGGTCTTGTATGAGAGTTCCTCAGATGACTTTCTATTTAAAGGTCTAAAGGTCAATGCCAGTGTCAGTGTTGCTATTTATGGTTTTGCAAATGACAATACGGATAAGATTTTACTTTATTTTCACAATTACAATCTTTGATATATTTCCCTGGTAATAATATATCATTATAATTGTTTTTGACAGGTGAAGATGAACAGAATGCGTCTGAGGATTGCCGAGCGTCTGAAGGAGGCCCAGAACACATGTGCTATGTTAACAACTTTCAATGAAATAGACATGAGGTAAGGGTGTCAGCCGAACAAGCTAGGCATATAGATAATAAGTTATTAAGTTTGTCACTAATAGTGTTCCAGCTAGCAAGGATGTGAAGTTTAGAGGTCAGCAAAGCCACATTTTTTGCATGTCAGTATAACTACTTGACTCCATTGCACAATAGTAGTAGATTCTATTACAGTATAAAGTTTTTAACGCTCAGCAATTTAGGAGTGTGACGACTGGGTGGGGTGTCCTGCTGGGTGTCTTCGGCAGTATGTTTCAGTGAGGTAGCACTATAAAGTTGGCATCAGTTCCAAGCTATCACAAGGAGACAAACACAAACATATCGCAGCCTTCCAAAACACACACGCATTCACTACACGCATGCATCTTGCACACAGGGGAGGCCGACCTTAAATGACCATAGCTGTTGATAGGACGTTAAACAATACTAAACCAAACCAAACATATAAAATATTACAGAAATGATCCCATGATATGTTTAAAGCTATTTGACTTAAAGCAGTGATTCAGTGGATTCAGGTACTAGATGTTGAAATTCTGGAATTGTTTCCTATTTTCATTTCAGCAACATAATGGACATGAGAAGTTGCTACAAGGATGCTTTCCAGAAGAAGTATGGTTTGAAGCTCGGGTTCATGTCGGCTTTTGTGAAAGCCTCAGCTTTTGCACTGGAAGACCAACCTGTGGTGAACGCAGTTATAGACGATAAAGAAATAGTTTACAGAGACTACGTAGACATTTCTGTGGCTGTGTCGACTCCAAAGGTATACAGCAAATCATGTTTACAACAAAACTACAATCCTGTCCTATCACTATCCTTTCATACTGTAAACGGCTTTGTTTTTAAGTAGCCTTATTTTGGTATTTATGACGAAAAATACAAATTTACTCTTCGTTATTATTTCTAGTGTGTAATTGATAACAAAGTTTAAAATGTTGTATGGAATTTATGTTGTCAGATTTAATACCATAAAACGTAAAATTACATCACAATGAATACAAAAATATGGTGTTTTTTTTGTTATGGAGAATGATTATCAATGGTTATTGAACAGAGGATTTGGGTCAGCTTGGTTTTGTTATAAACATGTTTTACTGTACACATCCATGTTTGTGTATGGATTATATCCGTGGATTATGTCTGGATTTATATGATCATGAAAGAGATGGAAGTGTTGCTATTTTCAAAGTGTGTATTCATTGCTGGAAAAGTTTGAATTGTAAGTAGTGTCATACAAATTTAACGATGCATCTTTTCACAATGAGGCGAGTATTATAAAATGCCATATATTGCGGGACACATCCTTATGATCCGATAAGGTGAGTATGAACATAAAACAAAAAAAACACATTGTCAAACAAGGAGTAATTTTTGCTGTGACTGGGGGCAACATAGCAGAAATTCATACAAAGTTATAAGAAAATATAATACATTTTCTTTCATTTTGAACATGTTCCTTTTATCCTTTCCAAATATTGCAACTTTAAATGCCAAGTTACATCAAATAATCAGCGTCAAAGATACAAAAGAACAAATCCCACTTCTTTGCTATGTCTGTATATTGATATGCAGTTCAAAAACAGTGCCACTTTTCACAAAAGCAAGGTGAAATATGCATTTGTATACCTTTCATTCAGGCTGTGGGAGTGGGAAATAAAAATGAATTTACTATTAAATTTCATCTATGAGGGAGGATTATATTTAATAATCTAACTATTGGTGAAATTAGTTCACCTTGATAAATGAGACCAAATATCACATTGCCAATTTTTTTTTTTTTTTTTTTTAATCTGTTGTTAATACCCATTTTATGTTTTCAGGGCCTGGTGGTGCCAGTTTTACGGAATGTATCAAATATGAACTATGCTGATATAGAATTAGAAATAGCTGCTTTAGGGGAAAAGGTGAGACTATTTCTGTTTCCCTTCTATCAGTGATCGCTTCCAGATGTCTTATGTCTTATGAAACTTTATTGATAATTATGTTTACATAAAGGTGTGCTGCTTAGCACTCTGCCCTGTACCCCAGTGGTCAAAGTCATGCCGAGGGGTCAGAAAGTTCATTACTTTACACTCTGCCCTGTACCCCAGTGGTCAGTGTCATGCCGAGGGGTCAGAAAGTTCATCACTTTACACTCTGCCCTGTACCCCAGTGGTCAGTGTCATGCCGAGGGGTCAGAAAGTTCATCACTTTACACTCTGCCCTGTACCCCTGTGGTCAGTGTCATGCCGAGGGGTCAGAAAGTTCATGAATGTGGATGTTATGACTAGATAGCCTCTCGCATATCATTTTTGGGTATGTGCACCAAAAGGCAACAGTTATTGCACAAGGGTCAAAGGTCAAATCATCGTAATATATACTTAAGGTATTTTCGACCTCTACTGACATCATATTCCTTATACTGGTTTCACCTACAGCATCTCTATGTGTGGATAGATCACGGCTGGCCAGTTTATCACAAACCACTGTTATGTTCGTAACCAGGTCTCCGCAGTAGGTCAAAACTACAACTGTTATAATACTTGTCCAGGTCAAAACTACGGAACAACTGGACATTATTTCATGAAACATCAACACTAATAAACAGCATACTTTTATTGAAGAAACTTTACGTTTAGATATGTCATGATTGGACAGTGTGTTGCATACCACTCTCCTGTCTACAGATTAGTTTAAGCAGATTTTATTGCATATTACAACAAAAGGTAGGCACAAGTTTAATATCACAACTTATTTACAACTTATTTATGTCTTTTCCCCGATTGAATTACAAAACAATGCATGATAACGCAATAGTATAGCTGTAAATATAATTGACAAATTTTATGAAACTAGAAGTAGAAATACTTGAAAAAACTTGAAGTTACGTATTGTGATGTTTCAACAAAAAAGTAGATCGGCGTCTGAATAATACTCATATATAAACATCAAATGCTATTTTTACATATAAAAACAAGTGTAAAGAAAAAAGGAAAATGTCTACAGATTCAGGTCACAGCAAGTGGTCATAAATACAAATCATTCTAGTCCTTTTCTAGTCTATTACCTCTGAACAGCTGAGCATATGTTGATGATATTGTATAAATGAATGTGTCATAATCTATTTAGAAATGAAGGCAAAATTGAGGAAAATAAATTCTACAGTATGTGAAACCACCAAAACACCTAAATCTCACATATGCATGTTACATGTGCATTAGGCTGTATGATGTCACAGTGACAAAAAAAAGGACAGCCACTTCCATCCCACTAAAAAGATACTTGACAAAAGAAAAAAACAATCTGTTTCATGCCATTGACATTTATTAACAGTTAATAAGAGTTTCCAATTATTTTATCAATCGAGTGTGTCATTTGCCAACCAACTTCTCATTTTAATTTCCTGTTATACTGTTGACCCTCAGGCTCGGGCTGGTGCCTTAGCAATAGAAGACATGGACGGAGGGACGTTCACCATCAGTAACGGAGGAGTGTTTGGCTCGCTGTTTGGGACACCAATCATCAATCCCCCACAGTCGGCCATCTTGGGGATGCATCGGATAGACCAGAAGGCTGTAGTCATCAATGGAAAGGTAGTTATGTTAAATAACGTTGTCGCGATGGACGTGAGACATGTACCTGCGAGATCTTGCGGCAGGAGATTTTTCTCTTCAAAATGGATGATATCTAGACCAATGAAACATGATAATGATATGGGAGTTGTTCCTAGACAATCGTTACCAACAATGTGTAAATTTAGATGATAATCAAGTGAGTCTAGTGACAGAAAAAATGGAATTAGAGACAACACTTCTTGAAAAATGGAATCGACATGTCAGATTTAATCTTGAATCAGAAAATGATTCTAGACCACTAGTAGTCTGGCTTCTATTGCTAAGTAGAATAAATTCTAAAGGGCAAAAAGTCCTTGGTCAAAGGACTGAAGAATTGGCAGATCAGTGAGGTGACCGAGCTTTTTACTGGTTTTAATTAAGCGTGCCCATCCTCTTTCCCAGGAAAATGGTGGGAATGAACTGATAAGGTCGAAAACAGTATTATTAGTATCTTACCTAGATGTTTGTGCCTACCATATATATTTTACTTGCATTTAGTGATATGCACTGTTAAACTCAGAACTCCTGCTTTATATAAGCGAAGTCCCAAAATATATAAATTACCTACCTACCTGCTTGGCTTCAGTGAAATCGTATACATCCAGTCTAAGGGAAGTAACTCCCTCCCTTGGCGGATGGACTTTTCAAACACGTTCGTCTTCATATGATTTTGTATAGCTGTGATGGAACACGTTTGTCATTATCTGAATTCATAGTCTAAGGGAGGTAATACTTGTATTCAATAATATTTTACATGCTAACACAGCTTACTTGAAGTACAAAATTTTCACAAGAACTCGCCAACTCACCTCAATTAGAAAAGAAAATCAGAAAATTCCTTTTATATAAATTAGTAACATTCTGAGTTGTTTTCTTCTCTGTCATTTTTGGAATATGTATTTATTCAATGTGTTTCAGATTGAGATCCGACCAATGATGTATGTAGCCCTTACTTATGATCATCGACTTGTAGACGGAAGGGAGGCTGTGACATTCTTACGAAAAATTAAGTCGGCAATAGAGGACCCCCGAGTGTTACTTCTCAACTTATAGCACCACTGAACTGTATAGAAACTTTCGTCATTTTAATGCATTAGCTCATGCTATCCTTGATCGGGATATTCCAACAAGTATTTATTTTGAGGTGATGCTTAAGACCATCGTTGCCATGGACATGTAAGAAACAACATGTGTCACCAGAGCGTATGAAACTGACTATGAACTTATATGACACAATAGAAACAAAGTTTTGTGATAGTTTGTGAAATCGATAATTTATTCAAACAGTTCAGTATGAACTTACAACTGCCATCGTTTCTATGTGTTTCTAAATCCATGTGAATTAGGAATGGTACACAGATATGGACTTCACCCCACCTATTCCTTATATAACATCAACTTACAGGTGTCTCAAGTCTATGATCAGTTTTGGAATACATTTTGTACCCGTAAGGCAGTTCATCAGCTATAAGGTTAAACTAGTTTATCAGTAGAAATTTGTTTGATGGTATGTGATCCCTACTGTATTTTTTTCTGTTTTAAGTAATCTCAAACAATCACTGAGAAAACAAACAAAAAATATATCAGAAAAACATACTGTAAAACGTAAAGTATTTACCCGTCTTGTTTTGCCGTTTTCACAATAATGAACAAGAGGGCAAATTAAGGGGTTGAAATCTGTTTGTACGATTCACGAATAGTAAGTGAAGTCTGAAATGGATGTTGGGGGTTGGGTTGGGTTGGGGTTGAATTCAGCAGGGATGACGAATCACAAGGGTAGAATTTTTAAAATTGTTGAAAGATTATGCTTACAGTATGACAATTTGAAAAGTGAACTATCTCAATGATTAAAGATCTGCATTACTCTAAAATCTGTTACCTTACTAAGGAAATTGCCTAATAAAACATAATGAAGTCCTGCACATCAACTTCATCATAATTTGATGTTTTAATTCTGGAAGGTCATACTAAACCTATAAGTTACTTTGTGGTAAATGTGCTTGTATAGGTGGTAGAAGTTCAGTGGTAACTTGTACATTACCGGTGTATTACCACAAGACGTTTTTAACCCCCATGTAAGTGGAGGGAAAGAGATCTTAGAATGATTTGTTTTATGACCCATAGAAAAACTGTTGATGGACAGAAATCTCAATTACAGTATATACCTAAACAAAGATGACCACCAATTAAAAAAACATGTTTACCCATTCATCCCTGAAGTCACAATTGAACCTCACCAAATCAAAGAGTGGGCAAGTCCATTTTGAAAATTTAGGGGTGGATGAGTTAATAGATGGAAATTTTACGACAAAGCTATTCTGTAACATAAATAATGTGCCACTGTATACGTTATTCAGTGATTTGTTGGATTATCGCAGTGTTGTCCGTCAGTGTCTGTTAAATAAGTCTGAATGACCATTATTAAAGATTGTTATAGAGGTTTCCTACTGTTTAACCTTTTTGCTGTAAAGAAGATACATTTTTGAGTACAGTAGCATATGTTTCCTAATAAAACTTGATGGCCAGTAACACCTTGACGAGGGGAGACAATTAGGACAACTGTATTAGAATCCTCAGGATTCACTGCAAATTCCCCACCATTTACCAGAAATATTGATCAGAGCTAATGAATACTGAAAATCATTTAAGCCACAGGACTATATGGCAAATTATGTATTTTTGCATAATAAAAGTATAACTAGATATATATTTCGCAAGACCAAATGTTCTCTCAAGCAGGGATCCAAACTAAAGATCTGATTGATGGGGAGAGTCATACATTCTTTCCTTTTGGGAATCATTACACAGCAAAGTCTGGTTAAATATCAAATATTGGGTTGCGAGAGTTAGTAGTTTATGTAGAAAGTGATTAAAAATGTTATTAAAATTATTTTAATTTTTAATGTCACTAATTTTATAATGAAACTCAATCACCCATCAGTTATAGCAAAAATCTGTATTACGAGTTCCAATATGTGGTAGATTCTGGATTAATGCTAGTATTACGATTATACAAAAGGTTTTGGCAAGCTCCGACACCATTGTGTTAAGTAATGGAAAGTAAAAAATTTCCCTTAAATCCGTCTATTCCCGGGTAATGTATTACCAAGTAACAGGCTACAATTATAAGGGCATTGATCATTGTAGACATGCGCTTTTTTGCATTTGGCAGAATGGAGAAATATATTTATTCTTCTTTAGTTTATGTTTTCCTTTGTTATTTCTACCTCTGTTTTTGGATTTTAGGTTTTAACAATCATTAAAAATTCTTTCATTGCCATATTGTCTCCACGATGTAGTTTCTGTAAATGTTGGGCGCGTCAACCAATCATTTTGGTTCAATAACAAGACTGAGGGAAACAACGTTGTATGTAGTATTGTGATGATTATAGCTACGATAACAATATCCGATTGTGTGTGGATGTAAGGAGAACATTCGGTTACTTTATCAAATTGTATCCTTGTGGATAGAACCTGAATACAAATTATGACCAGTAGTCTCTTTTCTGGCGTATATTCCACTAATGATATATTGTGTACCGGGAATTTATTCGCCCAGTTAAACTTTCACCCTCAACTTATAAAATCCATATTTGCCCTCCACATTGATATAGTGAAAATGTTCCAGTATACAGCATTACAGAATTATACAACAATGGGGAGTCTCAGCAAATTTAATCCAGTTTACATGTTTCAGACCTCCAGGTGGTTCTGATGAAGGCCCACTTAGAGGGCCGAAACTTGTAAACTGGATTAAATTTGTAGATTCCCCATTTAATTCGAACTAAATAGATTCAGGGGTTCACTAGATATCTTGTACAAAAGATTTACTATGGATGGAGGGACATGTCGACAAAGAGATGACTATATAATTACCAGTCATTTTTAAACAAATTTTGTTTCTGGATAAGGTATCTGAAAGAAATAAAAGGTTTCCACCTATCAGTCTGAGTTTGGGGCTATCTGTCTGTGTTTGGAGCTATTTGTCTGGGTTCGGGGCCATCTGTCTGGTTTTGAGCTATCTGTCTGGGTTTGGGGCCATATCTGTCTGAGTTTGGAGCTATCTGTCTGTGTTTGGAGCTATTTGTCTGGGTTCGGGGCCATCTGTCTGGTTTTGAGCTATCTGTCTGGGTTTGGGGCCATATCTGTCTGGGTTTGGGGTCATCTGTCTGGGTTTGGGGCTATCTGTCTGTGTTTGGAGCTATCTGTCTGTGCTTGGGGCCATCTGTTTGGGTTTGAAGCTATCTGTCTGTGTTTGGGGTTATCTGTCTGGGTTTGAAGCTATCTGTGTGGGTTTGTGGCTATCTATCTGTGTTTGGGGTTATCTGTCTGGGTTTGGAGCTATCTGTGTGGGTTTGTGGCTATCTATCTGTGTTTTGGGGCTATCTGTCTGTGTATGGGGGTATCTGTCTGTGTTTGGAGCTATCTGTCTGTGTTTGAAGCTATCTGTCTGGGTTTGGGGGAATCTGTCTGTGTTTGGAGCTATCTGTCTGTGTTTTGGGGCTATCTGTCTGGTTTTGGGGGAATCTGTCTTGGTTTTGAGCTATCTGTCTGGGTTTGGGGGCTATCTGTCTGGTTTTGGGGCTATCGGTGGGGCTATCTCTGGCTTTGAGTTATCTGTCTGTGTTTGGGGCTATCTGTCTGTGTTTGGGGCTATTTATCTGGGTTTGGGGCTATCTGTCTGTGTTTGGGGCTATCTCTGGATTTGAGCTATCTGTCTGTGTTTGGGGCTATCTGTCTGTGTTTGGGGCTATTTGTCTGGGTTTGGGGCTATCTCTGGCTTTGAGCTATCTGTCTCTGTTTGGGGCTATCTGTCTGTGTTTGGGGCTTTCTGTCTGTGTTTGGGGCTATTTGTCTGTGTTTGGGGCTATCTCTGTTTTGAGCTATCTGTCTGTGTTTGGGGCTATCTGTCTGTGTTTGGGGCTATTTATCTGGGTTTGGGGCTATCTGTCTGTGTTTGGGGCTATCTCTGGATTTGAGCTATCTGTCTGTGTTTGGGGCTATCTGTCTGTGTTTGTGGCTATCTATCTGGGTTTGGGGCCATCTGTCTGTGTTTGGGCCTATCTGTCTGTGTTTGGAGCTATCTGTCTGTGCTTGGGGCCATCTGTCTGGTTTTGAAGCTATCTGTCTGTGTTTGGTGCCATCTGTCTGTGTTTGTGGCTATCTATCTGTGTTTGGGGTTATCTGTCTGGGTTTGAAGCTATCTGTCTGTGTTTGGGGTTATCTGTCTGGGTTTGAAGCTATCTGTGTGGGTTTGAAGCTATCTTTGTGGGTTTGTGGCTATCTATCTGTGTTTTGGGGCTATCTGTCTGTGTTTTGGGGCTATCTGTCTATGTATGGGGCTATCTGTCTGTGTTTGGAGCTATCTGTCTGTGCTTGGGGCCATCTGTCTGGGTTTGAAGCTATCTGTCTGTGTTTGGGGTTATCTGTCTGGGTTTGACGCTATCTGTGTGGGTTTGAAGCTATCTGTGTGGGTTTGTGGCTATCTATCTGTGTTTAGGGGCTATCTGTGTGGGTTTGAAGCTATCTGTCTGTGTATGGGGGGATTTGTCTGTGTTTGGAGCAATCTGTCTGTGTTTGGAGCTATCTGTCTGTGCTTGGGGCCATCTGTCTGGTTTTGAAACTATCTGTCTGTGTTTGGGGCCATCTGTCTGTGTTTGTGGCTATCTATCTGTGTTTGTGGTTATCTGTCTGGGTTTGAAGCTATCTGTCTGTGTTTGGGGCCATCTGTCTGTGTTTGTGGCTATCTATCTGTGTTTGTGGTTATCTGTCTGGGTTTGAAGCTATCTGTCTGTGTGTGGGGTTATCTGTCTGGGTTTGAAGCTATCTGTATGGGTTTGAAGCTATCTGTGTGGGTTTGTGGCTATCTATCTGTGTTTTGGGGCTATCTGTGTGGGTTTGAAGCTATCTGTCTGTGTATGGGGGTATTTGTCTGTGTTTGGAGCAATCTGTCTGTGTTTGGAGCTATCTGTCTGTGCTTGGGGCCATCTGTCTGGGTTTGAAGCTATCTGTCTGTGTTTGGGGTTATCTGTCTGGGTTTGAAGCTATCTGTATGGGTTTGAAGCTGTCTGTGTGGGTTTGTGGCTATCTATCTGTGTTTGGGGTTATCTGTCTGGGTTTGAAGCTATCTGTCTGTGTTTGGGGTTATCTGTCTGGGTTTGAAGCTATCTGTATGGGTTTGAAGCTATCTGTGTGGGTTTGTGGCTATCTATCTGTTTTGGGGCTATCTGTCTGTGTTTTGGGGCTATCTGTCTGTGTATGGGGGTATCTGTCTGTGTTTGGAGCTATCTGTCTGTGTTTGGAGCTATCTGTCTGGGTTTTGGGGCTATCTGTCTGTATTTGGGGCTATTTGTCTGGGTTTGGGGCTATCTCTGGCTTCAAGCTATCTGTGTGGATGTATCAGCTTCCTTTTGATATTCACATGCCCAATCAAGACAATAAACCATGAAATTGATAAAAAGAGAACTTTTAATCATTAATGCAAACAAACAATTATTCACAGCCGGAGATGGCTTCTATGATAGTTTATAACTGGTCACAACCAATATACAGGGAATATCTAGACACATTAACACCGGTGTAACAGCCACTTCTTCATCTTTTCACCATCATACAAAACGTGCATTCTATATTTAACGAGGTAAGGATGGTACCATTGTTTCAAAAATAGTAAAATATATCGGTGAAAAGAACTGCTGCAGATCAACACCAACATACATACTCGTTCACCCCGAGAGGATCAACCCTGACCTCAATGTCTCTCAGATGATCCACTCTGACCTCAACTTCCCACTGAGGACTAGCCCTGACCTCAGCATCCAACAGGGGATCAATTATGACCTCAACATCCCCCAGAGGATAAACCCTGACCTCAATGTCCCAGAGGATCAACCCTGACCTCAATGTCCCATGGGATCAACCCTGACCTCAACATCCCCCAGAGGATAAACCCTGACCTCAACATCCCCCAGAGGATAAACCCTGACCTCAATGTCCCAGAGGATCAACCCTGACCTCAATGTCCCATGGGATCAACCCTGACCTCAATGTCCCATGGGATCAACTCTGACCTCAACATCCCCCAGAGGAGCAACCCTGACCTCAACATCCCCCAGAGGATAAACCCTGACCTCAATGTCCCATGGGATCAACCCTGACCTCAACATCCCCCAGAGGATACACCCTGACCTCAATGTCCCATGGGATCAACTCTGACCTCAACATCCCCCAGAGGAGCAACCATGACCTCAACATCCCCCAGAGGATAAACCCTGACCTCAATGTCCCATGCGATCAGCCCTGACCTCAATGTCCCATGGGATAAACCCTGACCTCAATGTCCCTTAGGTAGAGAATATAGAACAAATTACTGTGCAGCAAGCCATGACTATGTAGTCGGTGAGTGTTTTCTTTTCCCTGTGCTGAAGTCACTGGGTAGTGGTAGACCCCGATCACTTAGTCTTGATGGCCATAGAAACTGCACTATCCATGGTACATTGTACATATTACAAGTTTTGCACAGTTTAATCTGACTGTAAATTAAAGTCAGTCAGACCAATGAAACCTGACTATACTGGTATTATCAGTGGTGGATTGATGAAGAGGCTTCACTATACCAACATATAATTCATATACATGAAACAAGAATCAACCATACAACATCCACAAATATTTGAACATACCAAGAAATATATGACATTTGTCATAACAAAGTGATTTGATATTGGCTTGTAACCAACATCCAGGTTGTATATAACTTTGCATACAGGAAACAGATTTCCCTAGTCATCTAGTCTTATCTTCTTGAAAAAGAATGCAGGTTTTTATTGCCGCAAGTGTTCATGGACCTGAGAATCAAGACATTTACCACAGGGACTTGATAACTGGAGAGGTTTACCACAGGGACTTGATAACTGAGAGGTTTACCACAGGGACCCGAGAATGAAGATGTTTTTCACAGGGGCCTTAGAATTTCAATATGTTGAGACTTTTCTGAGGAATACAAAGAATTATTAAGACGATTTTGGAGCCCAGATCAACACCTGATAAAAATCTTTCTCCATTAATTATTAATTGGGAGGTCAATTCTTAATTCAAACCCATTAGAAGGTCAGATCATTTCAGTACATCACATAAATAAACGGTTTCTTTATAAACATAAACTGTAGTTGATAAATACTGTATTAAATTTACATCTTATATTGCATGAAAAAATCAATCCTTGATAATCTTGATCTTGAATTTGATATTGAAGGGGAAAAAATATTATCTATGCATGGATATAGAAAATGTACTGATTTAGATTATAAAATAATTAAGATTACTCGGTACCCATGTGAATATCATCACATAAACATTGATACATGTAGAAGAAATATGGCACTTAAATGTCTTACACCAGATCTTGCAGAAATTTAACATGACGCCTACAATATATAGGGATAGAAATTCAAAAACAAACTGAGGTATTTTCAAGTTTTGACACCATATTTAACATTGTAAAAGATTAACGCCAAGCCTCCTGATCAGTCAGTCGTGTGTTTATATATATACTTTCTAAAATTGGAGATTCGAGAAATAATCCCTGATTGAATTTGAAGAATGCAGCTAAAATATCTAATCTTTGGATGTATTGAGTTCAGGAGTTTTGACAAATTGTATTGCAGTATTGCACAAAACTGAACGCAGTTTAAACAGCTGATCATTTCAAGAGGGACCTGAGAAAGGTTTGTTACAGCTATATTTGGACCTAAAATAAGGTGTTCAGAGTAATTTTACATGTTTTAGGGGTTTAGATCGACTTTCGGTAAAAACGACACCCCCCCAATGATTATATTAATACCTTAGTTTAGGTCCAAATATAGCTGTAACAAATTCTCAGGTCCCTGTGATCATTTCCTGTTATTACGTTAATAACAACGGGTGGGGATCTCGGATGCAAGGGGCAGGTAACTCCGAAAACGTATAACAGAATTCTTCAATGATAGCAACAGTGCAGCTAGACATATTAAATGTCCGAACGATCTTTAAGCTGCACATTTTACAAAATCAAGACGAATACTACAGTCATGCAATAGCTATGGTGACGAAATTTAAACAATACAATACATACATCATCAGATACATCATTTTTTACCCCAATACGTACTGCATAAGGAAATAATATTGTCTATGTGAAGGTGTATAAAAATGTAAATAAAAGGAAGTGTCAGCAGGTTAAACAGTTTGCCAAAAATTATTGAAATTAACATAATTATATACATATAACTGTATTATATAGAAAAGCAGTATCAATCAATACCAGAAACACTGCTACACATTATGTAGAAATACTTCATAAAATATAACACATAAATTGTTCTTATTGAGACTGGTTTTAAAAAAAAGGTAACCGGTACACAAAAATAGAAAGATTTGTTCAAAATAACTGCCAAATATTACGTGTGCATGTATTTACATAGACAAGGTTCTGAAATTTGTATTTTAGAAATTATTCACACATCAAATTTAATCTAAAATATTTACCTTTCCTTGTTTAAATCCATATTCATTCCATGTGAGTCTAGTTTTTCATACTATATAAAGTGTGTATACTTTTCTTCATACTAGAAATATTAGAATTATATGTAGAGAAGTCTGTTGGGTACCCAATTTATGTTAAGGGAAATTTACAGTTTTTCTCATTATTTAAGAGAATATTTTTACATCTTACTTTCATACCTTTCAAGACCGTCATGAAACTCATTTTTTTCACACAGAAGATTACATCAACAGATATGTACAAATTCACTACTTTCTAACTGTATAACTACACTGTTTCAATTTTTTAAAACTAATTATTAGATTTCAAATGCATGGAATGAAAAAGTATTTCACTAAAGGAAAAATGTTCAGATTAGAGTACTTCACTCATTCACCCTTAAAATTTCATAATGAACTATTCCAACCTTTAAATTGGAAGAGCTCAAATGCGTCTTGACAGGAGTACTAGTGAATGAGTTATTTTATTCAGAGAAATTTTCACGTCAAGGAGAATATGTACACATAAATTATAATGAATCTGGCCTACACTAGTCCCTCTCTTGAGAACCTGTTTTGGGCATCATAAAGAATTGGCATTCACCAAGACCAAAAATGTCAAAAGTTTAAACCTCTAAACAGTATATGCATACCATTACTTAAAAAAGACATTCATGACAAAATCAGATTTGTACTGGAGTACTTGTACTTATCCAACAGTAAGCCCATGCCTGGTAATAAGCCCATCCATAATTACTGTAGTTCAGTGCAAACATGCCAACGAATCTGTAATAAACCTATTTCCCTACTACTTCAAGCCAGAGATTATTGGTTGGCCCCCTGGGCTTACTGCAGGATAAACACATGTTTTAAAAGTACTATGGGCGGATTGGTCGAGTGGTTAACACTCCAACCTTCCACGCAGGTGGCCGGGGTTCGACCCCGAAGTCGTCGTACGCATGGATATTCAGAGAAAGAGTATTTTCCTGCCCACACAACTGCAACAACCCAGGTGAAGTATAAATTGGTCTGGGGTGGATGTTGCGGTATCTGTGCTGTAGCATTCAAGTGAGGTGTCACTATAAATGATGCCTTTGGAAGCACGGTCCCACTACGAACAGAACACCTTACATCTCCACCACACACGCAGGCATACACACATAGGGAGATATTAGTCAGGTGGCATAGGACTAGTAGTTAGCGCCTGATAAGGCAGCTTCTTCGTATTCCTCAAAAGTTGTATTGATTACTGTATTGATTGTATAGATTGTATATCTGTACTGGAAAATGTTGTATATTATTATTATAATTACATAGAAAAAATATGTAAAAGAAAATCGTTGTCATTGGGAGCATAATATAATCCACAGTGTGTAAACAGATTGTCGTACATGTGTATAATATCTATATGGCATCACAGACAGAAATGCATAAAAATTGAAATAAATCTAAGGGTTAATTATTCCAGAAACGACCATATAGGAGGAGTTTTACCTTATAATATAGTAATACAGGTGCCTCCCAAATAATTAATTATGGAATAGCCCTAAGCTGGGAATAAAAAACAGTTCCTCATCCATAAATTGTAAAATAGTTAAAAAAAAAAATTTTTTTTTTTTTTTCCAATAATGGAAATCCGATCTTCTCACATGTAAGTATTGGTTCAGACAGAGTTATACATTTTAATAGTGAGATACCTGCATAATTAATCCTTTTGAGAACATGTGGCTCTTTTAAATGGGCCGCGGTGGCCATGTGGTTAAGGCGTCTGACATTCTGCTACCACTAGCCCTCCACCACTGGGTCGCGGGATCGAGGCCTAAGTGCGGCAATTGCCAGGTACTGGCCATAGGTCAGTGGTTTTTCTCTGGAACTTCAGGCTTTCCTCCACCACCAAAACTAAAACTTATTGCATAGATCTATTAGAATAGTAAATCAAATCAATGTCTTAAAACTACAAGTAATAATATTTTTTACCACATGGTATTGAAAAATAATGACATAAGTTAAATGTTATTTTACAGCTGTGTCTGTGTGTTACACATATTATATACTAGGTATAAAGTATACATTTGTAAGTACATGTATATTATTAACACATTCACCCCTGTCAAGATACATTTGAGCTCTTCCAATTTAAAGGTTGGAATAGTTCATTATGAACTTTCAGGGGTGAATGAGTTACACAAAATGTCAATATCCAGCTCGAAGGTACAGAAACATTGAAGAAATAGTGATTTACATATATGAAATGTGTTACTGATTTGAAATTGTGAAAAGTTCCCACAACCTATTTTCCTTTGAAACTGTGAAATCATTAATTTTTGTGGGTCTTTTGATTATTTTTGATTTGTGGGTTACATATATCTTCATCCAAAATTCATAGGTCCATAAAGTAATCACAGGTTTGATATATATAAAGCAATTCTCTATTTGAGTGGGTAATCGTAATCCACAAATTCATGTACCCAAAAAAATGGTGTTATGTCCCGAAAACCACGAAATTTAGGCCCCACAAAAAGTACCTGATTGCACAGTATATGTCATTGTGGCAGTGTATAATATGTCAATATATAAGGTGGGTGGTTGATCATCTTATTTGCTTGCGTTGGCCACCATTTCTTCTGAGAGCTGCCACAGTCGTTTTGCGTCCTCATCGACCAATGCTGCCTTTGACGGTCCTTTCTCTGCACAGTCACTGGAGAAAGCCAAACCAAAAGAAATGAATCCTCAGGAAAATTGTTCAATTACAACTTTATAAGGCATTTGTTTGATCTAAAGTAAGTTTTTTAAGGATCCCTGTCCCACTGCATACAAATACTAGAGAAGTTCACTAGATTTCTGCACAGGTACATAGTAACCTCCCCTTAACTCATTCACCCCTGAAGTTTCATAATGAACTCTTCCAACCTTTGAATTGGAAGAGTTCAAATGTGTCTTCAGGGGTGAATGAGTTAATACTGTTTTTAGCTGTCACTGTAGCCCGACTCAGCCAGGGTACTACCAATGGTCAAATGGCACAGTTGGCACAGAGGCACGGTAGTCTATAGCTAGTGGTAGGACGCCGGGCTCGTGACTGAAGGCTTGCTGGTTCGAGTCTCGTCACGGCACTGTGTTGTGTTCAAAGATACTTTACACTGCTTGTTCCAGTCTACTCAGCTGTAAATGAGTACTTGGTTGGGCAGTGCTAGAATTGTTGAATGCTAGCTGTGAGAGCCGAAATGACAGCTCTGGCTGTATGCTCCCCAGGGAGTTGAGAAAGATATTGGCTGGGGGCAAAGGCCCTATAACCAGGGATAATAAATTGTGAACCGCTTTGAGACGACCTATGCACTAGGTTGTGATAAAGCGGTATATAAGAACCTCAAATTATTATTATTACCCAAGCAACAGTTTATGTATAATGATAAGAGGTCCTGGGTTCAAATCCCAGTCGGGACCCATTGCATTTTTACACTAGGAACACTATTGTTGGCGCATGTTTATCTATTTCATCTTTACCATTTTTTTCATAAAAACAAATTATTTTATTTTAACAAATAAAACAATTCAACATGATAACTAATATCAAATTTTGACTATTGAATTGGGCTAGCAGTTTTCAGAAACACTGGTCCAGCAGGAGATTTCGCTCGTCTGAGACTATCAGGCTACCCTTAATGTCAAGCCCTATCCTCCTGTCCTTCATGATGTCATGATTTTTTACTGACTCCCGACAAAGTAAGATTTTCTACTGACTCCCGACAAAATCAGATTTCTCTACTGACTCCTGACAAAGTCAGATTTCTCTAATGACTCCTGACAAAGTCAGATTTCTCTACTGATACCTGACAAAGTCAGATTTCTCTACTGCTTCCTGACAAAGTCAGATTTCTCTACTAACTCCTGACAAAGTCAGATTTCTCTACTTACAACGACAAAGTCAGATTTCTCTACTGACTCTCGACAAAGTCAGATTTCTCTACTGACTCCTGACAAAGTCAGTTTTCTCTACTGTTTACAAGTCAGATTTCTCTACTGACTCCCGACATAGTCAGATTTCTCTACTTGCTCTCCCGACAAAGTCAGATTTATCTACTGACTCCTGACGATGTCAGATTTCTCTAGTGACTCCCAACAAAGTCAGATTTCTCTACTGACTCCTGACAAAGTAAGATTTCTCTACTAACTGCTGACAAAGTAATGGTGAGGACTTCAAAGTTCAGGGTGGTCTTTCTATACATACCTGAAGTATTTGCCTGAAACATTGTCCAAGTTTTCATCTAGAGCACAGTGAAGATTCGTCTGGGCGCCTTGTAATGGGGTCTTCAAGAAAGGTTTTATAATGGGACCGAGTAAAAAAATAATTGTGATCCTAGCTTGCACGTGTCTTGGCAATTCGGTGTTGACCACGCCTGGATGGAGTGCGTTTGTCGTCACACCTGTACCTGCGTAGGTAAATAGGGAATAGATATATATATATATAGATATATATATGGCAGATTTTAATTGTACATAAAATTACGGTCGCTTCACCCTAGAGGGAATTTCCCTTCAGCACAGTGGTAGAGCGTCCAACTAGGATCCTTGGGATCGCGGGTTCGATCCTCAGTGGAAGCACACAACTCTCTTTCCTGTTACATATATATGCATTTTAATGCCTAAAAGAAAATATTAATATATATATTAACTGTTGGATTTTATTTTGTATTTAAATTCTAGACACATGTATTAAGACTGTTAGCCAACTCTTACGTTTCATTATATCTCCGGATATGTTTACATCATCGTCAAACACAAATCATGCCACAAGTGGAAAAATGGTCTTAGATTATTAATTAAAATCAGTGTGAAATATGTATTACCTTGAAGACGTTTACTGAGTTCCTTCGTGAAGAGTACGTTGGCTAGTTTACTCTGAGCATAAGCTGCCATGGAGGAATAGTCCTTATCACTGTTGATATCGTCAAAGTTGATCTTCCCTCCTGTGAATTTTTTTTTATATAACATTAAATGTATAACAAAGCTATGCATGCAGACTATGGCTACTTTTATTTGAGACAGCCCCGAAATAATAAAAGTTCAGAGGTTTTGAAGTAGACCCCAATGGAGGAAATCGAACCCTGTCCGACCTGTGGCAAATTCTATGAAATGGAAGTGTGTTTTTTTTTAAATTGTTCTTTTTTTTTAAGACTCTTAGAGGCACATTGTACAATAATTACTGTATATAAGAAGTCAATAACATAAAAACGATTACCAGTTACAACAATTATCAAGCAAAAAAGACAAGAAAATGCGAAACAAAATGCAAATTACTGTAGTGAGCTGATGATGAGACGTTGATGATCCTGGCAGGAGCGGACTTCTTCATGCGGTCTAATAATAGATTTGTTAACAAAAAATGTCCAAGGTGATTCACCGCAAACTGCATCTCGTACCCATCCTCAGACTTCCACTTAGGACACATCATTACACCTACAGAGAGAAACACACAGTATAACATCTCGTACCCATCCTTAGGCTTCCACTTAGGACACATCATTATACCTACAGAGAGAAACACACAGTATAACATCTTGTACCCATCCTCAGACTTCCACTTAGGACACATCATTACACACAGTATAACATCTCGTACCCATCCTTAGACTTCCACTTAGGACACATCATTACACCTACAGAGAGAAACACACAGTATAACATCTCGTACCCATCCTTAGGCTTCCACTTAGGACACATCATTACACACAGTATAACATCTCGTACCCATCCTCAGACTTCCACTTAGGACACATCATTACACACAGTATAACATCTCGTACCCATCCTCAGACTTCCACTTAGGACACATCATTACACACAGTATAACATCTCGTACCCATCCTCAGACTTCCACTTAGGACACATCATTACACACAGTATAACATCTCGTACCCATCCTCAGACTTCCACTTAGGACACATCATTACACACAGTATAACATCTCGTACCCATCCTCAGACTTCCACTTAGGACACATCATTACACACAGTATAACATCTCGTACCCATCCTCAGACTTCCACTTAGGACACATCATTACACACAGTATAACATCTCGTACCCATCCTCAGACTTCCACTTAGGACACATCATTACACACAGTATAACATCTCGTACCCATCCTCAGACTTCCACTTAGGACACATCATTACACACAGTATAACATCTCGTACCCATCCTCAGACTTCCACTTAGGACACATCATTACACACAGTATAACATCTCGTACCCATCCTCAGACTTCCACTTAGGACACATCATTACACACAGTATAACATCTCGTACCCATCCTCAGACTTCCACTTAGGACACATCATTACACACAGTATAACATCTCGTACCCATCCTCAGACTTCCACTTAGGACACATCATTACACACAGTATAACATCTCGTACCCATCCTCAGACTTCCACTTAGGACACATCATTACACACAGTATAACATCTCGTACCCATCCTCAGACTTCCACTTAGGACACATCATTACACACAGTATAACATCTCGTACCCATCCTCAGACTTCCACTTAGGACACATCATTACACACAGTATAACATCTCGTACCCATCCTCAGACTTCCACTTAGGACACATCATTACACCTAGTATAACATCTCGTAACCATCCTCAGACTTCCACTTAGGACACATCATTACACACAGTATAACATCTCGTACCCATCCTCAGACTTCCACTTAGGACACATCATTACACACAGTATAACATCTCGTACCCATCCTCAGACTTCCACTTAGGACACATCATTACACACAGTATAACATCTCGTACCCATCCTCAGACTTCCACTTAGGACACATCATTACACACAGTATAACATCTCGTACCCATCCTCAGACTTCCACTTAGGACACATCATTACACACAGTATAACATCTCGTACCCATCCTCAGACTTCCACTTAGGACACATCATTACACACAGTATAACATCTCGTACCCATCCTCAGACTTCCACTTAGGACACATCATTACACACAGTATAACATCTCGTACCCATCCTCAGACTTCCACTTAGGACACATCATTACACACAGTATAACATCTCGTACCCATCCTCAGACTTCCACTTAGGACACATCATTACACACACAGTATAACATCTCGTACCCAACCTCAGACTTCCACTTAGGACACATCATTACACACAGTATAACATCTCGTAACCATCCTCAGACTTACACTTAGGACACATCATTACACACAGTATAACATCTCGTACCCAACCTCAGACTTCCACTTAGGACACATCATTACACACAGTATAACATAGTTTCTTTAATTCCTCCCTTCAGTATTGCCTGGATTTACTCAAAATTGCGACTTTTGGGATTGATTCTTGCAGTTTTAGGTTTATGATATGACAAACATCTTAAATAAACTGTTTTGTCGAAAGTCTTTCAGACTATGAAGATAGTAAGAGATGAACAGAGATTTTGATAGATTAGATTTAAAATTTAAAGAAACTAACTATATCAGATTTTTTTTTTAGAAATAATGTACAACAAAAATTGTTAATGGTATAAAATTACACCACAAATATTTTTTTTAAAGACTTTTATTATATCACATAAACTTCGTAAACAATTCCTTTTTTAAAGAAATATTCTTTAAACAACTTTTTGAGAAGAACTTGAATTTTCAAAAAAATTAGTAACATGTATAAATAAACAGTGCTAGTAACATATATTTGTCAACTGTAACATTATGTTTTCAACAACTAAATGATTATTTCAACGAGTAAATGCGTATAATGTTAGAATTCATATATCAAGAAATATATCCAGGAAAATGTAAATATATGCATATTGGACGATCTAAGGAATCAAAGAATGAAATATCAAAATCATACAACATACAATTAAGGGAAAATCCTGGAAATATTGGTTAAGGAAAGCATTGGAGTTGTCAGTGACAAATCATTAAACTTTGAAGACCACATAAGGGAAAGGGTTAAAAAAGCAAACTTGATGCTTGCCATTATTAGGAGATCATTCAAATTTTTAGACTACACAACTTCGTGCCACTCTTCAATGTCTTGTGAGGACACAGTTGGAATACGCAGGAGCAGAACAAATCAAAATATGTAGACAAACTGGAAAGCGTACAGCGTCGCCCTACGAAATACCTACCGGGGATAAAAGGCCTAAAATAACTAGAAAGATTAAGGAACTTGAGCCTACCAACACTGACATATATATAGGAAACTGAGAGGAGACATGTTTGAAATGTACAAGATTGTAAACAGAATTTACGATAGAGAGATAAGTACTTAATGTGATTAAGGTTAAAAATTCTACCACTTTCCTACTGTATATAGGACTTGAAATATTATTTTCTTGGTAAATTTTACATCTAAGATATTATTCCAACTTATTTTTCACACGAAGACAATGCTATTAGGTTGCAAGAATTTTTTTAAAGAGTCGTGACATTTTGAAATTATTAATACCAATAATGTTGCAGAAAAACTATTGAAACAAATATCATGATTGGTATACTCCCTGCTTTATAAGCAAGAGCTTCAGTAACCAACTTCCCTAGGCAAAGTAGAGAGTTTTTTGTGAAAAGGGAAATTAAAAGAAAAAGTCTTTCATACATCTGGCTTTTTTCTATAGTAAATAAGCAAGTCCAATTCAGAATAATGCTTTCAAACAAACTGGAACTCTTTTTTCTTGGAGATACAATACAGTACTGGGGAGGGGGGCTCTATCTTAACTCATTAACCCCTGAAGACAAATTTGAACTCTTCCAATCCAAAGGTTGGAATAGTTCATTACGAAAAAAATCAGGGGTGAATGAGTTAATGTAGGTCAATACATGTTCTGTTAATGTTCTCAAATGCAGAAAAGATTCCCGCCCTATGTCTCCTCACTATATTGTTTGTGCATATTTCAAAACCTTTTTAATTTTAAAAGCTAAGTAACTCACCAGCATTGTTGATAAGAATATCAATTCTTTCCTCTTTCTCATTCATTCTCTCTGCGAATTTCCTCACAGATTCCAGCGAGGCAAGGTCCAAGCGCTGTATGCTAACATCGGTGTTTCCTGAGAATGTTTTTACGGTTTCAGCTGCCTCAGTAGCCTTTTTCACATCACGACATGCCATGACCACACGGGCGCCTAAAAACAAACTTTTACGTTTCAGGTTTTTGCCAGCAGTCCTGAAAATGTGTGTAAATGTTTCTATAAAACTAATTACTTCAGTGTTGCGGGAGTCAGCGGGTCCCCTACATTATAATAGAATACCGGTATCTGCAACCAACCTTCAAGACTTCCGTAAATGATCAATAGTTAAATTTAAAGTTTATATGTATCTAGACCATAATATGATTACTTCTAACAAGCATCTCCTACATAATAAATTGATCTTTACTCTAGTAGATATATCCTTCATTGTAATTAAATAGCTGTATTTAACCTCTAGCAGAAATATTATTGATTGTCATTAAATAGCTGTAAACCTCTAGCAGACATATCTTAAGTTGTCATTAAATAGCTGTAAACCTCTAGCAGACATATCATTGATTGTCATTAAATAGCTGTAAACCTCTAGCAGACATATCCTTGATTGTCATTTAATAGCTTACATCAATATAACATATCTTTGGTAATCTCTGAGAGCTTAATCTGTAATGAACAACTGTTTGGCTGTCTAATCTTTAACAAGACAATCTTTTGGTCATATTCACTATGAGCTATTAATGTTTCTTTGACTTATACTGACCAAGAGCATTATAGTGACCAAGGGCTTTCTACTAGCAAATTTAATTCCTTTATTCTTACATTAAGTCATATACTGTCCATGCCTTGCCTTACCTGTAAAAGACAACTTCAGCTCTGTTTTTTTACCAAGGATTAGTATACCTTTAGCAGACAATGCTATCTGGGTTTTTTTTATCATAGACTTACCTCGAGAGGACAACTCTAGCTGTTTTGTGACATACAAGGACTCATGTCTTTAGCAGATAATTCAAACTGTTTTTAACCAAGTACTTACCTCTAGAAGACAACTCTAGTTATTTTGTGACCAAATACATGTCTCTAGCAGACCGTTCTAGATGTGTTTTGACCAAATGCTTACCTCTAGCAGACAATTCCTTTGCCGTTTCAAGACCAATACCAGTATTACAGCCAGTGATGATGACAGTCTTTCCATCCAGACGTTTCTTAGAGACGCACACACCACCGGCCAAGTGACGTCGCAGCAGCGCAAAGCCAATGACTGAGAAACAACATAATAGTTTAATTGTGATCTTCACAATCTGATATGGCCAGATTGGTCTTGTCTCAAAAAATAGACTGGTCTCGAGGAGCCAGAAACTTCAAGACCATACTTTACTTGAGATAACAGGGTACGGATCTGAACAGTCTCCGTGCTATGACTCAGATAAATAGTCCCCAGGGGCAGGGCCAGACCCTGGAGTCAACCTTGGTAGAAGTTATGATGTATGCACCTTTATATAGCAATTGTATGTATGGTGAAAGGGTTGGGATTTCAACCTTTTCCATGTTATGACTAAAGTACATACTGTGATATATGAGATATTTTTGTGGGGCTCAAATTTTATGGTTTCCCCAAAAAACAGACCATTTCATGAATACATGAATTCGTGTTTTATGAGTACCCACTCAAAGTGTTTGTGTCTTGTTCAAAGAAATCTAGTTTGGAGTGGGGATTTTGGCCATTTTCAATATATGACAGACAAAGGGACTTAGTCCCTGGGGTGGGGGTAGACTCCAGAGTCCATCCTGGTTGGATGGATGTAGTTTGTCATGTGCATTATTTGTGGTGTTCTATAGCGTACTGGATCTAGATGCTTTTAATTATGTGTAGTACACATTAGCACTATACAACTGTATACTGGTAATTACCAGTGCCCAAAACTCCTGCACTGGGTCCAACCTTAGACAATTGTCCAGAGAACGAAGTTCATTCATTATTTAATACGATAAAAGTGAGTCCCCTTGGCACAAGGATGATCCAGACCAACTCTGGTGAATTTTAATCCTCTCTCATAGTTTTTATTGGTTGGGTTGGTAGCCTGTATGGATTTTTTTGCTTTTTTTAGTATAACAAAACCCCCACGAAGTTTCAGTGGATTTTTCAGCAAGACAAAAAAAAAAGCTAAAACTTTAAGAAAAGTTATAGGTGCCGTTTTTAGTGAGTGGGTCGGGGAACTGCAACTTTCAATTTTAAGGATTGCCTTAATCGACTAAAGGAGTAAGATTCAAATTTATTTCAATGTCCCCATAATGGACTATTGGACCCACCCCTCTGATCCATGGCAGCATGTGATCAATGTCTGCAGGTTGATGATCTTGAGTTCTCTGGGGTAAATGCCCCAGACCAAAGTTATAGTCAAATTCACTTCAGCCATTCTGGACTAGAACTTTAAATGTGTTTTAAAAGAAAATTTTACAGCAGACAACATCCGACACAAGCCAGATGGGCAAAACATTTTTCTTTGTAATAATATGCATTAAACTCTCAGATGTTTTGTTTTTAGACCTCAATATAAAAAAAATGTGGGTGTTTTTTTTTTTTTGTAATAATTAAAAAAAAATCACGGTGTATCGATATTATCAGCATCCTGGTAGCCTGGCGTATCTATGTAAACTCCAAAGAGGTTCCGAAGGCTACCACGTCAAGGTGAACGTTATAAATTCTTTGGCTAATATATATATAACGACCTACATAATTATACATGTAGTTTAATTTGGGGTGAGCATTTCTCAGAATCATTATCTATCTAGAACTTTATAAACATGACAAAACAGGCAAAATGATAGATCTATCATGTGCAGACGAACGAGCTGGACCGAACGTTGGGACATGTAACTGACAGGTATATGACCTAGTACGTTATAAAACGTCCCCTTGATATCCGACAAGGTTCGGATCATAGGATCAAAGTAGGGTGTGCAACTGTATATGTGTCATAGAGTTTAAATGAAATCAAAATAAGTTTACCTGATCCGACAACTGACGAAATCAGCACCTTGTGTTGTACAACCAAAGCCATTGTCACCTCTATGCATGCTAAATCCATATCCGTATTCGTTTTGTGCGTTCACATGTATCAGGATTTCCGAAGAGGGGTCGTCTCAAAAACTATATATCAACGGTTAACGTTCTATTAATTCACACCGGGTTTATATGCGTGTCTGGCCTCTTCGTTCGTCACTAGCCTGATCGACTTTTTAAAGAATTTTCCATAAGATAACTTTGTATTGGAGTTCGCGTGTTTTCTGAACAAAAGGTAGACTCGATCCCATTACCAGTAACTAAACCCAACGAGCTGCAGAGATCAAGTATGAACCCCAAGTTGGTATCAGCTTTAAATAACAACAGGAACCTGAGAATGTCATGATCAGGATGTGTCGTGACAAGACCAAGACCAATCTATGTAAATACTACCTGAAAACAAAGTGAGCTATTAACTAGATACATCTAGGGTGAGGGTCCCAAAATGGAACGGTACACAAAATGAACACCTTTTGATATAAATGACACAGCAATTGTTATTTCGCAATACAAATTAACGGTATGTATTCTCAATCAAAATTAAGATAGTTGTGTGCAGTTTGAACAAATATCATCTGTCTACCTCTTAAACATTGCTCCTAAACTCAATTGAAATATTAAAGAAAAGGAAATGAAAAAAAACCCGAAAAAAAGTATGATGCGAAAACATAAATATTCGATCATATTTCTAAACGTGGAGAACTCTTTGATCAAATTATATTTTTAGGAAATAAATTTTTTAAATTTGTCAGAAATTGTCAAAACTTTTTCAATGAAGAAAATTATTTAAATGCTACATCAGTCATTTTCATAAACTAATACTAATAGTATATGATAAAGTGTTCCATTTTGGGTACTCGACCAGCTAAAAATTCCAAGTGAACCTGACGCACTTTAATGAGCTCTATAAATATAGACACGTGCTATTGATACACAAGAAATACAAAAGATGAAGGCTAAAGGCATGTATTGTTTCATTACAGTAAAAAATTGTCTTTCAGAAACTTTATATGAAATATTAATATTTTTCTTTAAAAAAGTGTTCCATTTTGGGTAGCCTCATTCTACACGAATAAAACAAGAGTACCGCGGGGCGGAACAATATACGCCCGTCAAATACCATATAGTGTTATATACTTTCTTACATTGAAATAAAATCTGCATCATTCTAAGAGTGGTTAGCTGACATGCTATAAAAAATGTAGGAGAAAATCTCCGGACAAAAAATCAAATACTGAAATGAACAAAGGACAATAACTTTTGCAAAAATAGTCGAATCACAATTATTTTCAAGGAAACACAACAACATATTATGTTTATTTAGCCTACTTAGTTTCAAAGAAATCCATCAAAAAATTTAGGAGGAGATCTCCGGACAAAAAAAATTCAAATACTGAAATGAACAAAGGGCAATAACTTTTGGAAAAATTGTCGAATCAAAATTCTTTTAAGGGGAGACACAACTTCATCTCATGATTATAATGTATATCAAGTTTCAAAGAGATCGGTCGAAAAATGTAGGAGGAGATTGCCGGACAAACAAAAGTTCACGCCGGACGGACAACGCCATACCATAATACTCCCGTCAAATTTGAAGGGTGTATACAAAGGGTGTACCACAAGGCGTGCCATTATCCCCGCACCTAGCTCATCTTACGCTAGCCAAAATTTTAAACTCAGAAAAAGACTCAAAAAAACCAAATAAATTATGATTGTCATATCGGTTGTACATGTATACTACTTTCTGGCACCAAACAATATATAAAAAAAATCATTATTTCTGAGATTGTGACAATTATAATTTCCCTGCCGAGCAGAGTGAGGCGAATTTGTTTTTCTGAAGATGTAATACTAAACTTGTTCAAGCACTGACAAGCGTAGAAAGCTAGAATTTATCGGACATTATTTTCATTGTCAAACAGATCGAATAAGGCATAGAATAGTTTTCTGAGTTTGCGGTATTATTCCAGTATTTATATTTTATGATGGCCGAGCGCTTTACAGTACATAGATATACAATTAATACAATTAGGATATAAAATTTTGAGGAATTCGCAGGAGCTGCCTTATCAGGCGCTAACTACTAGTCCTATGCCACCTTGCTAATATATCCCTATGTGTGTATGCCTGCATGTGTGCTAGAGATGTATTGTGTTCTGTTTGTAGTGGGAACGTGCTTCCAACGGCATCTGTTTTTATAGTGCCACCTTACTTGAATGCTACATCACAGATACCGCAACATCCACCCTAGACCATTTTATACTCCACCTGGGTTGTTGGAGTTGTGTGAGCAGGAGAAAAACGCTTTCTCTGATATTCCATGTGTGCGACGCAATGGTAAAAATGTAGGTTTTTGGTTTAAATGTTGATGTTTGTGTCATGCCTTTCATGTGCATGTAGTTTAGGCGAGCATTTTGGTAATTAAATATTAATTTATTTTGTTATAAATATGAATTATGATTTGACTGCTCGTCTTTTATTCTGAATTTGTATGCATGCATATGTACAAGGGCAACACCTGTTAAAAAGGATATATATATATATATATATACATGCCAGGCTTTTATGCTAACATTGGTTATTATTCACCTGATAACGTGGTGCTAAGGTGGATGCTTTATTGTCTTTGAAATTTTTGAAATTTACATTTTCTAACAGGTATAATAAATCACTCCAGGTGATCATGTGTACATGAAACCACAGGTGAAAATACAGGTTTCTCTATCATGAAATGGACTCTACCTTTGAAATAACAATTAACATATTTACCTAATTCCAACAGATGGTTTTATCCTCTCTCAACGGACAGGGTGATCACCACACCGTGACATTAGAACAATACGATTTAATCATTAGTATAGGTAGACAGTCCGTTGAGCCTTCACCACTGACCTGACTGGAGACCCTATTAATATATAAACAAAAGAGGATTAATCCCCTATTGTTTAGAGTATACGTAGTGGACTCCTTGTTTGGGCAACCCCCTTAGGCATAAATAGATATTCAAACTGCTGCTTGCCATAGAAAATCATAGTTCACAGGATGGTTGATATTGGAAGAAAATCCCATAGGAAAAAGAGGAAAATCTTCAAAAACCTAGAAGTCGGGATTATTTTTTGACACAGAAAAAGGGTGTTGCCCGGGCAACTAGGGCAACACCCCTGGGACCGCCACTGGTGTGACACGATTTATACCTTAAATCTCGATTATGTGATAAATAAGGATCTTACATTCGTTTTCATTTCATATGAAATTTATGAAACTCGTCACGAGATTTTCATTTCAGCTCGCCAGAGGCTCGCTAAATTGAAAAAACTCTTAAACTCGTTTCGTAAATATCATGAAATTGAATCTCATGCAAGATCCTATATATATATATATATATATATAAACCTACATTGCGCCTTTAAAATAGAGGAGGCCGGGTATGAATTTTAGTACTATCCCGCACCCTACTGTCATTACTGATGAACGATAACAGAAGAAAGCGACAAATATATCAACTTTAAAAAGTCTGTTTTCTATCACTGTCTTTTACCGTTAATGTTTCAAAATACTATGGTTTATTAATATGAAAAAAACTGACTAAACTATCTCCTCATTTTGTTGATCTTAAAAGGACATTTATCACATAATCGGCCTGTTATCCAGTGAATTCGCCGAAGTAATATTTTTACATATGTCACTAGTGTAATATACCCTGGAGCGTTTTTCCTTGGCTGTGCCAGTCAAAAATCGATTGTTACGTCATAATATGGACAATGACGTGACGTCATAAATTGTGAATGGCGCAACAAAATGGCTGTCTCAGTTTGATTAAGCCCTCTACATTTTGGCTTTAAAACCCGTCAACATGTAAGTTTTCTGAGTTATGTGATAAAAAGTATCTTAAATTTGTTTTCATTTCATATAAGCTTTTATGAAACTCGTCTCGAAGTTTAAATTTTTTAATTTAATTTAAATTCATTTAAGATCTTATATATACACACATGTACTACTGTCTATCAGTATCGTGGCTGGTCAGTTGATGTCTGGAATTGATATCAAACAGCTAACCGCTAGCATTCTCTTTGGTAGAGTGCAGAGAAGATATATATATATTCCCCTGATGAACCTCTCGAGAGGATAAAACGCTAGGGAATTCAAAGAAACTCTTATATATGATAACAAGTACAGGAACATGATAATTTATTACAGTTTAGCTATGTTTAGACCTAAACTGTTATGTTCATTGTAATACTAGACGCTTTAGGGTTTAAGATTAACTTTCGGTCTCGATGTCGAAAATAGACCATACCTTAATTCCTGTTAAAAAAAATCACACTTCGAGCGGATGAAAAAAATGCTTGGTACCTTGGAAAGTTGTTATTTTTGCTTTCACAGATATCAATGCAGAATGTATTCTTTCATAGACATTGTCTCCGTGTCTTCCATAAACACACGCCATTTCGATGTTTCAAAGTTTTAAGTAATATTGATTTTATTCGTAAACCCTTCATTATCATTTTATTATTAATTCATTAAATGTTTTCATATTCATGAAGTTGACGTCAGTCATATTTGTTTGGGTTTTATCTTCAGTCGAGTCAGGGAACTTTCATTTTAGATCAATCCAACATTTGCTGACTCCCATAGACTCCATACAGTGGACTAGTAACGTTTTAAATGAAAGGTTTAAGCCTGACAACGGACAACGCGTCACTGACCATAAGGGCAAGGTGTGCTAAAAATCAATACCTGACAAATACATACTCCAACGACGGTGTGCCTTGTAGATTTAAATTTAATATGTAATTAATGCAAAGTTTTTTTCGGTTACTGGCAACACTTTTAATATTGTCATGCGATTAAGATGTCAAACATATTATTGTACTGAAATTAAAAGCTAATTAGTTTGAAGTGTGTCCACTGACTCGCTGTTCCAACGGCCAGACAAGAAAATGCCACTTAAAGCCACCATGATAAAGCTTTTGAGATGCCGTTGTTGTGTTTGTAGTCCTATGAAGAACCGTTTTAAATATGATATATATTCCTATCGACAAATGAGTTGACACCATGACCTTTTGACATATGGCCACCTCCAAACGTGACATTTCATTGGTCATATGTAACCATCCGTTTGATTGGATAACCCTTAACAAGGAGGAGTCTGACCGCCACATCCTCCGATGTACACTTCCGGCACAAGTCGGCAATAGTTCCGGTTGTCGCCGTTGGAAATAAGTTGACCAGTCGAGAAACTGCTTCGGTAAACTCACGCTGAACAGCGCCTTCCTTTACCTTCTGTATTTTCTCGGTATATTTTGTATCAAGCTCCTCGAGTTGTTTTTTTTGTCGCTCTTTCTCGAGGTTCGCTTGTTCAGTAACTCGCAATAGCCTACCCATTCGATACGCGTCAACGTGTGTATTGTCAAGTTTCTTCTTAGTGATAATGAATATGAAAATAAAGATTGCAATCCCTAGCACAGCAATCACGATGTAATACCAGTAATTTGCTAACCAAGTTTTTATATCTTCTAAATTCTCTTCGTTAAACATTTTACCGAGACGTTTGATGACGTCATCAGGGTTATTAAGCATACATTTGTGTTTTTTATCACAAACTCCAGCATTGTTGTAACACGTTGCCCCGGCGTCTTGGTAAAGGACCTCACCGAAAGTCCCCAAGAGACCAAAATTGTGCGCAGGTTGACATTTTGTTGAATTGCCAGAACGACAACACAGCATACACATATGATCATCCACACCTGTGCATTGACAGGTGTGCATGTCTCGCGATTCACATATGCTTTCAACACAGACACCGGCCTTGCACGCTTTCTTTCCGCCAGCACAGATAATTCCATCCAATAGAAAAAATCCGTCTGGACATTCTCCACTGGTTCCGTCGCATAACGATTCCTGCTTACACTGACTTGCCTCTGCACATTTGTGACTATCAGACGCGGGGATGTAGGTACAATTCTGTCTGCAACACGGAGAAAATTTCCACGAGCACACTTTACCTTGGTGTCTTCGGAAATTGCACGGCCTATCAACTTCAAATACGACGTCAGAAGGCACACAACAGGTATCACCATAGAAAGTACACAATCCGGAACTGCCACAGTCACACTCCTCTCCCGCCTCCACAATGGCATTCCCACAAACTGGTCCCGTTTCTGCATTTAGACATGATCCCTTGTTCACAATGACCGGGTAAATTTGACTTAAACTACAACTTGAAAATATATTGTTGTTTGGACTGGAACCATCTGCTGCATAAGGAAACATTATGTAGTTTCCTAAATCGTTTCCGGGTGAACAAGACGCGTCTGCTGCACTGTCATGAATACTACCAAAGCTATGTCCGAACTCATGGGCAAGCGTCAGTGATGATCGGTAGCTCGGAATCCTACTGCCGTAATTATTAAGTGTTACAAGAGCTGTGTTAAAGTTGAACGTTTTCCCAGACAGATTAATCCGCGTCTGACATATTCCTCCTGGAGGACCATAAACATCCGAGTTTCCAATCCAAGCAAGACCCACGACTCCATCTTTAAAGTCGCGAAAAGTAAAGGCAATGCCGAGACAGAAATCGTCGAAATTATACTTAGAAAACTGGTTTAGATAATCATAGACGTCAATGCTGTTTGCCGTCTTGTAATCATCCACTGTTTCGTTAGGGTATATGGATATAGCTGTGACAGTAAAACCAACGTTATCTCCCTTGCCGTCTCCGTTAAAGTCTGTACTTCTGAAAATGTGGTCTGCACTTCCGACTAAGTACATTATTTCGGCGATAGTTTGAGAGCGCGACGACTGGCCTACGCCGACGAAGAACAGGTGATCTACTACAACATGGAGCGAACACGAATGCGAGAAAGTCGCTGCTCGCCTTGTTCTGCTACGTTTTTTTCGAACACTGTTTAAAACCCATGGCGCTTGCATTCCTGTACTGTTAACTGTATGACAATTTTCTTTTAGTTTGAATTGATCAGGCGGATTTTGATCGACTAAATCAGCTTTTTTATAAATGATACATATTTGATTTGAACCGTTTACTATTTCAGAGCTATACTTTGACAAGGGTTCCAAATACAATATCTCGTTTTTAGTCTGTACCATACCATCAAATGTTCCTCCGTTTAGCTTTCCATACACATACGAACCCTTTTCTCCCATCACAGACCCTGAAAACACCGCTGCCAGGCCCATAGCTGAGAGTCGACCGCCTGACCAAGCTGATCTTCCCATAGTCACAATTAAATTTGGAGACAGAACACTTCTGTCATGATGAAGAACCAGCGTGAAATTCATCTCATATGCATTAAATCTGATTATTTTGTCAGCATATTCGTAGTCTTGTCTTTCTGATGATGTAAACTTGTTTGATATATTCAAAAGTACAGTTTTATAGTCTTTCACAAATGTCCTGATATTCTCATCTCCAGATCCAGTGTTTCTGTCCTTTCCTGTCGAGCGGATGTTGTGAAAGCAGTTAACGCTTAATACATTCACTGCTGTAAGGATGATGAAAAGATGACACACTATTCGTGAAAACATGTTTTAGTTCAATTTCGCTGGCTATATACTTTATCAACTATAGGAGCCTGGGCAACCTACGAACCAAACTCTGATGAGAAAGTCATCCTTCCTTCTATTCATATTTTCCCGGAACAAAACTACCAAACGCGCTGCATCCTGGGAGGAAAAGGTATCGGAAAATTAAAGTAAAATCATATTTCATATTTCCGGATTAAATATATTTTCAAATAAAAGAATTAAAAAAAAATAAAAAAAAATGCTGATATGAATTTGCCTTTAAAAGGTTAAAATCGCAATTAAAATAATGAAATTGCGATATTACTTTTCTCCGATATGTTTTGAGATTGTCCCCAAAGGATATGTAACTGTTAGCAGATTTTTTAAAGTGTCAAGATCAATACCCATGCCAATGTTATATTAATTTAATCGATACGGAATATTACAGCTAAAATATGAGTATTATGAATTAAATATTTCAGTAAACGTGCAACATTCTAATAAATGTTTTAAAATCCGGATCATCGACATTGAGTCCTACTTCTTTATTACAAACAATGTGTTGTTTCCTGTTTTCGAAAACGACTGATGAACGAAAATGAACGACAATATTTGTATCGTAGATCACTCTCTTGGAAACTGCTGTCCTCATTTTCATGAATATGCCGAAGATATCACGTTTCGTGATTTATTTCCATCGTCATATTCTTCTGAAAGGGTATGGAACGTGTAACTTTACGAATTATTGATGAGTTTTTTACAGGGCTGCGGCTTGATCACAGGTGACAAATGTTCGTTACAAATGAGAATATTTGTGAAATCAATGTATGTTAGAGCATTTCTATATGCTGTGAGAAAAATGTACAATAAACAGGTTGAGTACACACTCCCCATATTGGATAATATATACTATATTAATAATATAGTATGTATCTAAAGTTCTATTGACTATATATCCACCCACAGGACAAAGGTGTTTGAAATTCTGTGGCAGGGTTCAATTGTACATAGGATTAAGGTCGCCTTCTAGCTTCGAACTAGGGGGAAATTCCCTTTAGCTCAGTGATAGAGCGTCCGACTAGGAACCTGGAGATCGAGGGTTCGATCCCCTGTGGAAGCACACTATTCTCTTTCCTGTTACAAATGGTGTCCTAGTCCGAATTATTCTGACGTTTTATCGACTTTTTTCATATCAGTCTGTCGTCGATTAACGTCAGAACTCCGCCCCTCTATAATATGCGGGAAATATGCGACCTGCGCCCGGAGCGCACTTCAAACTGATATTTTAGAAACAAATCGTCACTTTCACACACATGTCGCACATGGATCGAAAGATCTATTCTTCAGGCGCAAGGTGGTATCAATAACATGTTTCATAGATCATAACGAAAAGCATTTTCCAACGTTTTCTATACCAACCCATGTTTTTTATGGAAATTAGGCCATGAGAAATGTCGCATGACTGGACGAGATCTCGCGTTACCGAAGGTATTTCCCAACGTTATGACGTAGGCCGGCAAGATTTTAGTCACGTGGCATTGGAAGGCGGGGCTATCAAAACACTAGAGTAAAACAGAGTGAGTTTGAAAAAAAATGTTTTTAGTGATTGTTTTAGTTGTTTGAGGCATTTTATGTATGTTCATCTTGTGCATAAAGAATAGATCTTTCAATCCATGTGCGACATGTGTGTGAAAGTGACGATTTGTTTCTAAATTATCAGTTTGAAGAGCGCTCGGGGCGCGGGGCGCATATTTCCCGCATATTATAGAGAGCTGGAGTTCTGACGTTAATCGATGACAGACCGATATGAAAAAAGGTTGATAAACATCAGAATAATTCGGACTAGAAGCAGTAGTGGGCATAAAATTATAGTGATTAAATTGTCAGAAACAACAGGGGGAGGGGGAGGGGGAGTGGGTATATCATTTACTGTTAATCTATGAATATAAAACGTCAAATATATATGTATAGGAAACAATGGCCAGTGTACAATCAGGTTATTGTAAGTAACGGTCACTTCTACCATTCTTTGTGGTCAGTACAATTACCATTTACCATAAAGAACAATCGATGATCTGTGTTGAAAATTAAATCAACGGATTAGAAAAGTATATCAGCATCAAATATCAAAAATAAGTTCGATAAATATCATACAATCATATACTTCAGTTGAGATATATGCATGATGTATAGCTTAAACTACTGTAGTTCCGTAAATAATAAATTGAGCGAAATTTAAGTCCATGATTTGGTTTAATAATATTTCACGATACATTTAACCCTCTCATACCCTCGTGTCACATTCGAAATAAACATCATACACTCTGAAATAAACAATAGCTTACTTCATTAGGGTGTTGACCATTATTTCTATTCCCGGTTGTGACACGTAATTGCTTCTATTCTTAGAATGGGGGTTGTAAGTGATTTAATAGCTTCAAATAGAGCTACAATGCAATACTGCATTGTTTTTAAATGTACCGACTTTTAAATAAAACTTTGAATTGAAGTGAATAAAATTGAATGAAAATTTACAGTTCAAGGTAAAGTTCAAATATGTTTCAGTGTCACACTTTAGAGGTCATATAGATATATTTAAAATACGCGTAATAATATATCCGCCAATATTTAGTCACGTCGGTCTGAAGTACATTTTTTAGTATGAATTACAAATGTGTGAGACATTAATCGTGTACACGTTAAAATGACCATTTACCGTTTTATATTGATATGACCATCGGGCGCCTAGCTGCCATATACTTGTAAGCAAAAAGCAGTTACATGCACATCGAAAATTCTCAAATGTATATTTCTTTTTTTATTATTTTGTGCCCGGTTGGCCGAATTAGCAGTTAAATGTACATTCTTTTAAAAAAAGTTTATTTGGCTGTTCTTGTACTTCATAATAATAAACAAAAGATTCTCCTAACAATTCACAAGGGGCCGTGGTGGCTATAAGTGGCGTCTGACAAGTAAAGTCGAATGTGTGGATCAATTTCCTTACCTAGGTGTTATTCTAAATTACAATAATAAATTCACTTCTATCCAAAAACAATTACCTATCCAAGGACTAAAAGCTATGTTTGCATTATTTTCATAGGGTTCATCATTAAACTTAAATGTAAAACTATGCTACACCTTTTCGATGCATATGTTAGTAGTATCCCTTTTTATGGAAGTGAAATTTGGTGTATGCACAAAGCTCCAGAGATTGAACATGTACATTTACGATTTTTTGTAAGAAATTACTTAAAGTGAAGAAATCGGCCAATAACAACATGGTATATCTTGAGTTGGGACGATTACCTCTAGTTTGTATGAGAAAAATTAGAATGATGAAATATTGGTTTAAGATCTTAATATCTTAAAATTGTATCATATCCACTTCTTATAGATTTTTTATTAAAATGTTGTAGTAAAAATGATTTCAACTGGGCTAAAGCAGTAAGAGATGAATTGAATAATCTAGGTCTTAGTGATGTTTTGTTAAATCCATGTATTTCTCAGCAAAATGTGTTATTACCATTGATAAAACAAAGATTTATTTATCAAGGCATACAATCCCTAAGGGCCTCAATGGAAAACTCTCCAAAATGTTTATTGTTTAAAAATATTTTTTTGATTTTGGAGAATCATTACAATTTTACCTCAAAAAATATATACCAATGAAATATCTCATTTGTTAAAAACGTCCGAATAATTCAGACTCTGTAGTGACAGGGAGTTAGAACCTGGGTTGTGGTGTTCGAGGGCTAACACATTTAAAAAGGGGGGAGTAGTGTGGCAGGGTTCAATTGTACATAGGATTAAGATCGCCTTCTAGTTTCAAACTAGGGGGAATTTCCCTTTAGCTCAGTGGTAGAGCGTCCGACTAGGAACCTGGAGATCGACGGTTCGATCCCCGGTGGAAGCACACTATTATCTTTCCTGTTACAATTCTATTTACAGTCAGAATTTCAAACACCTTTGCTTTGTACAGGGGTTCGTAACAAATGTCTGAAATACACATATGCTTATGTGTGCTGTGACCCATGGGCCTGTTGGTTTTTGCGGAACAATCGGTACATCCGTGTTTAAATGTAACATTTTTTGGGTATACATACTTGCCAACTTTTTTTAAATTTCCATAGGGGAGATTCTGCATGCTCAAAATTAAAACATAAATAAGATGGCTGTATACACCCCCTAGAGACATAATAACCCTTCAAAATGACATATTTTGAGTTGTTCTTTCAGATGAAATCATTAGATCTTAGAATATAGGAACAGTTAAGCAAAATCACTGGTTGAAAACACTTAATTTAAGGGTCCAAAATCGAGAGTCTCCATCCTACATAGGGAGGGTGGCAAGTATGGGTATAAATCCTGGCGGACCTGCTAAAGTTTGTGTAAGCCTTACAAGACTTGGTCAAGGTTCACCTGAAATCAGCATCAGATTACTTGGTCCGACCTTATTTCATAAACGAACAACTCTGGTCGAACTCAGGGCACGGTCCTCGGACCTGTCCTATTCCTTGTTTATATAAACGACCTTCCGGAAAATCTTCACTACAGTAAACTCCAGCTATTCGCTGACGATAGCATTATCTATCACGAAGTCTCATCTACTGCAGACTGCGATAAACTTCAATTAAACCTTGAAGCTGCTGCCAGGTGGGAAGCAGATTGGCTAATGGCTTTCCACCCGGGTAAATGTACCTCACTATCAGTCACTCACAAGAGAAAGCCTAAGAAATATAATTATATCCTTCATGACCAGGTATTGGAATCTGTCCCAGCTGCCAAGTACCTGTGGGTGACACTACAGTCGATCCTGGAGTGGAACACCCACTGTGACAACGTTACATCTAATGGTAACAAGGCCCTTGGTTTTCTTGAGAGAAATCTTAAGATTTCAAACACCAATATCAAGGCCAAAGCTTACCAGTCACTTGTGCGACCCAAACTTGAGTATGGTACTTGCGTATGGGACCCCCATACACAGCAAAATACAAACAAAATTGAAATTTAACGACGTGCAGCTAGATATGTATGAAATAACTTCCATAATACAAGCAGTGTGTCAGGAATGTTAGAAAATCTCCTTTGGCAACTCCTAGCTGCACCTCGTCTAAAAACATGACTTGAATTCCTATTGACAGTAGAACCAGAAAATCAAATTATCAAAACTTCAGACATATATCCGCAACAAACGACACCCTTAAATGGTCCTTCTTTCCGCGCACCATAGTCCAATGGAATGCCCTCCCTGCAGCCATTGTAGACAGTGCTACTGTAGACACCTTCAGAGATCAGCTGACTCCAGCTGTACTCGCACCTCTCCTGCACTAAATACTACTTATGTATATAGTTTAATGTTTAATCCAAAATAACAACAAAAAAAATAACAAAAAATCTTTTTAACTAATTTTGCGTCCCCCCCATGCACTCCAGGTAATCTTCTATGCCAAGAAGGTCTGGTGAAACTATAAAGAAGAAGAACCGGTTCAACCGTTTGGACAGCGATAAACGAAAACGGACCAGATTAGTATAGCATATATGTATTTCAGACATTAACAACCTCTGTGATCTACCTATGATTAATAGCTGTAAGATTTCAGTTTTGATAAAACTTGGTTTTAATAATGATACTATTGTAGTCAGGTGTTTACTACAAGAACCATAATGGTTTGAGGTATTTTTCGATTTCTTTTAAAAACAATACTTTCATTTGATGTCTTTTTAAATCAAAATAGTGATAACCTTTTAATTAATTTGATTTAAATGTGGCTGTGTTGTTTTCTTTTAGAAAGAAAGAACATTATGTGAAAATATTTCATGGCGCAAAAGACCTATTTCAGATCTCTATTTATCATAGTGTAAACTAATTGTATAAAACAACAACAATAGCTCAGAGGAGTTTTGTTACGATGGTACTTAGAGTACAAATGTTGTAATTTGTGGTGAAGGTTATTAGCCCACAAGGGGGGATTCTTCACACTTGATTGCACACAGTAGAAATTATTGTGTTTGCAATCATGGCTACATATATAGGCTACATATTTTCAGATTGAATTGACACCAAGTATTGAAGTAGATGTTTTGAGCAGTATTTTATAGTACATATTTAAAACTTTATATTTTACTTTCAGACTTTTCCAGAAGAAGAAATATACCTAACAAGTAATGGAAAAGTGGTGCATGTTGGTGATGTCCTTCATCCCGGTCGTGTGTACCATGTCATTCCGAGGCTACTCGGAGGAAAAGGAGGTACGGAAACTTAAATATCCTTTCGATTTCAAAATATCACATTATTTATACTAGTGTGGCAGATTTTAATTGTACATAGGATTACAGTCACCTTCTAGCTTCGAGCTAGAGGGAATTTCCCTTTAGCTCAGTTGTAGAGCGCCCGACTATAGGAACCTGGAAATTGAGGGTTCGATCCCCGGTGGAAGCACGCTATTCTCTTTCCTGTTACACTAGAAACATATACAATAAAAAAAAATCTTGAATACAATAAAAAAAAATCTTGATCACAACTCCACAGAGAATTATTAAGACCCGCTACTTACTACGTTACTTTATAAGTGTCTGAGTGTTTGAGTTGTATTTCAGAAGAAATCAATCTAGCATAACATGTATTAGTTTCTGTTAATATACCTCTGCAGTATATTTTATAAACTTTGCATCTTGACAAAAGTAGTAAGGAATTATCATCTGGTTAATGATCAGATCATCATTCATGTAGCCTTAGAAAAATGTGGGGGTTTTTTGGTAAAAGATTACCAGTCTCAGAAGATCCAGTGATTTCTTAATAAATATTTCAGTCCTGGAGTCGTGCTTTTGTTGTTGGACTTGCCCAAGAACGAAGTTTTTTTCACTACTCCGCCTTAAAATGTATATTATGTATTTTGCTTTATGTTGATCCAGACTAATTGAAAGGAGATTTTACAAAAGTTTCTCTCAATAAAGATTTTGCATAATATTGTGTATTTTCAAGATTTATATTACCGTAAAAACCCATGTAATTTGCGTACCTATGTAATTTGCGCAGGTACATTTTGAGGCTGAAAATCCCCAAAACGATGTTCAAGTTCCGAAAATCGATCTCTGAAAATGAAAGGCAAACCGCTTGGGATTCTTAGGATTTTTGTAGTATGTTTATTATAAGTGAGTTCATAAGTATTGTTTACAGGTACAATGATGGATGTATATGATAGAATTTATCTTGCATAGGGTTTGGGTCCATGTTGCGAGCCATAGGAGCCCAGATTGAGAAAACAACCAACCACGAAGCCTGTCGTGACTTGAGTGGACGGCGTTTGAGGGATGTTAATAACGAGAAACAGTAAGTAACAAAATTCCCTCACAAAAGTTGAACTACACATATACATTACCTGGTAATACATCTGCACATTTTTCATCATGTTAACATGAAGGGGAGACTCCAAAAAAAGAGACAATAGACCATTAAAAGTGCTGTGAAATCAGGGCCCATATTCATGAAACCGTTCCCATGCTCAAGCATGGATTTTGTGCTCAAGCATAATTTCTTGTTCCTGTTATAAATAATTTTTAAAATCTTATTTTGTCAAAGGTTTTGAAGAAAAATTGAAGAGACTCCAAGCCGAATACCATTTTCAATATTTATAATTGACGTTTTGATCGTTGACATGATTTAGGTGAGTTACAAGAAAGCTGGCTTGAGTACAGAATAAATGCTTGGGCATGAGAACGGTTTCGTGAATACGGGTCCAGGTGTTTTTCTTGGCCAAATTTTTGCAGTCTTCCGAAACAACATTTCTTTGTTACATGAATTTGTGGATTACGGGTATCCAATCAAACGAAGAATTGTTTTATATCAAACATGTTAGCACTTTGTGGACCTATATGTATTTTGTGGATGAATATTACTAAGGAAATCAATGTAATTAAAACCCCCACGAAAGTTTATGATTTCACAGTATTTGAAGAATAGCAAGTGAGGATACATTTGAAACTTGAAAATAACTCTAGCACTGACTTTGGCTATCACATACAGTAGAAACCTATGTAATTTGAGCAGGTACTTTTTGAGGCTGAAAATCTGAAAAAAAAGCTTCTACTCGAATATTTTGCGCACCAAAAAAATCTGGAAAAAAAAACATGTTCATGCTCCGATTTTTTTTTTATATTTCTTATGTTTTTTGTCATTGATGTAAAATGATATTAAAAACCAAGAAGAAACTACGTAAAATGTGTATTTTGTTGTTTGTTTTCTTTGAATTATCCGATATAAGGAAGCAGGCATTTAGATATACAATGGTTGATGTATGCTATCTGCCCTTACACCTATCGTATCTAAACAAAGCCTGTACACATTTTTATGATATTTTTTTAACAAAGATTGAAAGATTGGCTTGGAAAGAAAGCTGAAAAGGAAAAAGAAGAAGAAGAAAAGAGACAGGAAAGACTGGCTAAGAGGCGAGCCTTACCCAATCACAAATTTGATGACCCTCAGTATGACCAACAGAAAAATAGAGTTGCTGAAAATTTGGAAGATGCTCTTCAAAAAGGTAAAAAGAACAATATTTGTTTAGCCCTTTCACTTTCAAAAGGTGGACTGATCAAATCGCCCTTTCTTTATTTTTTTAGCCCTTTCACTTTCAAATAGTGAACTAATCAAATCGCCCTTCGTCCATGGTCTGTTGTCCATCTGTTTCTGAAAAAGTGCTCAACATATCCCTAGCTTTGATCCATAGTTGTGCATGCTTCATATTAAGACTGCTCGGAAAAAACAAGATGGCTGTCAAGCAGTTGTGTTAGATTTTAAGAGTTCATGTTTGTTATCACCATTTCTCAATACTTGACAGATCTTTCTCAATTTCATATGTAGGTTCTCCCTGACTCATAATGTAGTAGCTGTGTGCTACCTGGGGTTCATCATGTCAAAGAGTACTTACCAAACACATCCAAATGTTTAACTGTTTATTCACTGGTCCGCACGGCCCTCTTCATAGGGAAGAGGTTCTTTCCATTGTCCGACGACCGCACAATAAAAGTATTTATATTGTGGACACTACTTGTGGACAGATAAGCGTGGTCTACGATTATCAAGCTCAGTTGAAATCAACACTCGTGCGCAATGCACTGCACAGCCACATGTTGACCACTCACTGACCACTAGCTAAACTTATAAAAATAGCTAACTTTTGAACCCAGTCAAACAGGTTTACAATCAATATTACACATGTACAATGTATGTATCACAGACACTTGCGAATACAGACTTTGCACATATATGTAAAATTTTAACATTATATATATATACATTACCGGTATATCTATACATGTCATTGTTTAATGACACTGCTACAATAATTGTATGATCCATTTTGAGACAAGTTAGAAAAAACAAGACAGTTACAGGTACTAGTTAATCAACTTGGATTTTTACCCTTCAAGTTTGTTGTTGTTATTTCTGAAGAAGTACTCGACAGATCTTTCTTATATGTAGGTTCACCATGGCTGGTCTACAGTTATACATGTTTCATTTTGGGACTGATCAGAATAAAGAACGGCCACCAGACTGCCATCTTGGATTTTGACAGTTCAAGTTTATTATTGCTTTTTCGCATTAAGTAAACAATGACATCACTTTGAAAAGACACTTTCAAACCCAGTGGTATGGAATTAAATCAAAATTTACCACATGATGCATTTATTGTTGACAAGACTATCAATGCAACAGATAAGAGGAAAGAAGATTTATATGAAATAAGCAAACTTACCAGGTACATCGAACTAATGAAGATCTTACAATGGAGGGTGCCAAGTTCCCTCTGAGATCTCTTGTTTCTTTTTGTAAGTAACTTATATTTGTATTGACTTCTTTTGCTTCCCAGCAAATAATGATATGATTTTAGTATATGGCATTTAGCAGTTTTATTCTCATGTTTGTTCACTGAAATGAATTTTGTATCACTATACCCTATTCCATCAGTATTTTATATGCTGCAAAATTTCTTTATAGTAAGTCAAAATTCTGTGATGTCTAAATTTCTGTTAGGATTACAAAAGACACACACCTCCTCCAGTGCATCACACAGTCTCGGAGCAGCCCCAAGCTCATCCAGTTCATCTGGGTGTCGGAAAAGGACAACAGACTCACACTCACACAAATCAGCCAAAGTTAAAAAGACCACAGAATGGTAAGTTTATAATGATACAAAGATAGGCAATTATTTTGCAAATTGAGGACACAGATATTTGGGTCCAGGATCCGGACTTGTGCATTCCCTATGGGAATCGGCCACATTTTGAGAATCCATGACACATCTTTTGTAAAAGGAACTTTTCGAGATTACAAATTCAAACATTTTTGCTAATGTTTTGTCAAGCACGTTACAAAATGTTATAAATCCTCAAGGTTTACACAATTTAGTATTTGAGAACTTATATTTCTAACCATGAAGTAAATCGCTTGAAAAAGCTTTGAATATTTCTACCAAATGTCTTTACAAACCATGAAAGAGATTGAACCAGCAAAAAGGTCAACCTTATCTACTTATTTCAGGCTTGGTATTGACATGGAAGATCTGAGTGATAGTGACAATAATGATGATGTCACATGTATAGTGCCGGAGACAGTGTCCCCAGGCTCTGGTTCTGACAACAGTGATACACAGTGTAAGGACAAAGGTGTTACAAAATGTGATGACAATAAGAACTTGTGTGAAAGTGATCATGCTAGTACTGGGAATGGTACAAGCAAGAATCCAGAGGAAACAAACATTGATATGACTGAGACCACAAAAGACAATAATTCAACTGGTAGCAAGAATACAGAGGAAACAAACATTGATATGACTGAGACCACAAAAGACAATGATTCAACTAGTAGCAAGAATACAGAGGAAACAAACATTGATATGACTGAGACTACAAATAACAATGATTCCAGTGGTAGCAAGAACGGCCTCTTGACAGCTTTACAAGCAATACCGCCAAAACAAGCCGAGACAGTGCAACAGGAAAAGGAACCCGAACAGGTGAGAATCATGAAATGTTTTTGAGCATTGTCGGAGTCAACAGTTGTGTTGTTCCAGTCTTTTTAAAACCAATTAATAAGATAAACTTTAGAGAAAGGAGTTGTATCCTTAGCCCATATTCATGAAACCGTTCTAATGCTCTAGCATGTATTTTACGCTCAAGTCTAATTTCTTGTTCCGGTTATAAATGATACAAAAATCTCATTTTGTCAATGATTTGGAAATCATTTGATGGGTCTTAAAGTGGAATACTGTATTCAATGTTTAAAATTGACTTTTCAATCATTTGACATGGTTTAAATGGGTAACAAAAAGCCTGTTTAAGCAAAGAATCCATGCTTGAGCATGAGGACAACTCTATGAATACCGGCCCAGGTCCGTTATCCTGAGTCCAATCCCATCACTGTAAATCACTGTAATCATGTTTTATATTTAAGGACCTCTATGCTTTGGAAAATTATATGAATCAATAATAAAGATCAATAAACCATTTGTAATCAACAACAATTTTGGCCTGGCAAGACAAGGATTCGAACCCTGAACCTCAGATTGATATACTGTCTCTCTAACTAACTCATGATCTACCTGGTGAGCAGAAGACTGTTCCAAGACATTTTATCCAATCACACTGCAGTTATATAAAAAATGAAATTAAGGTGAGATCAATGTATGTACAATCACACAGTGGAATCTCTAGTGTTTGGTCTGCAGTGGAAAACTCAACAATTTGTATGTTGATGTCAGCCAACATTTTAATACTATATTACCGTCCCACACACAATTTTCTGAGGTTTTTATATCAATAATTATCCTGTCACTAGGCGAACAATTCATTTGTCTGTTTTTTCCTTGTTAGCAATGGGAAATATCAAGAGTTATGCCCCTTGTTACACATGTTTACTTGTTTATTATAATCAAATTGTAATCACAGTAATATCATGATAATACACACGTCTGTCAGCGATGTGACGGTCACATTCCGCGCTCCGTGTACTGTTAGGATATTATACATAGTCGATGCCTAAGGATGTTAGAAAGAAACTCAAATCATCGGTGACATGTGGCTTATTCATGTTCAAATTGTCAGACATTGATGACAACGGTCACACATGTATGATGAGAACTACCAGTAGCTAAACGCTGTCGATGCGAAAATATATCAGTTTAAGTGAGTTTTGCGAGCTATTATTGCTTCGCCGATAGCCAACCTCTATCAATAATTACGTAATTTCAGGTACTCAAGTTGTGTGTTCAAACCATTGGAAACATTGTAAGCAGGGTTCGAACTATCACTAGACAGAAAATTATTATTTTCATTGTTCAAAAAGTGTGTTCGAACTATTCGCCTATTCGAACTGACCGAAGGTTTACCGTAACTGACATCTGCCGAGTGGCCTTTCTGAATAAAATGTACTCATTGTGATAATTTCAGTATGTTTTCTCTTTTTCAGGATGAACCACTGGATCTTGACAGTATTTCATCTGTTGAGGAGCTGGAAGCTTTCAGCCTTGAGAAATTGAAAAAGGAGCTGATGGCCAGAGGGATGAAATGTGGTGGGACACTAAAGCAGCGAGCTGAGAGACTGTACAGTGTAAGAGGTCTGACAACTGATCAAATCAAACCGTCTCTGTTGGCGAAACGGACATGAGTGAGCTGAAAATAACGACTGAACTCACTGAAAAAGAAAATAATAAGGTTTGAAGAATTTGTGCTACCGATTGGCTGTTTCTGTGCACACGTTAACCTTCTTCAGACCTGAATGATAAGGGAGGGGAGGGGTGAACAACTGGTTTGGGATTCAAGTTCTCCAACTGTTCTGCAGTAGAGGTGGCTGAAAAGTCAGTGAGATTCAATAAGTGTTCCGTCTTCAGGATCACCTCCATACTGGATCAGGCATGTCAGACTCCAGTATGAGATACAGTATGTGTGATGTCTACAGACCTACTGGATAAGACCTAACCAGCCAATATGCAAGACTCAATGGTGCGACAAGAGGAATAATAACCCATTGTGTTCATTATTGTCATTATTGTCACAAAACATGAAGAAATGGATTCTTTTGGTTGACATGATATTATTTCCATTATTCCTAAATATGTTTTGTACACTGCAACGGTAATGAGTACAGGTTGTCGCTAATTTTTAGCTCACCTGGCCCGAAGGGCCATGTGAGCTTATCCCATGGTGCAGCGTCCGGCGTCCGGCGTCCGGCGTCCGTCAACTTTTTCCTTTAAAATGCTACTTGTCCTGAATGGCTCAGAGGATTTTGACCAAATTTGGTCAGGAGCATCATTGGCCAAAGGGTTCTCAGTTTTGTATAAACGGAGGGTATAACCCCCCTGGGGGCAGAGGGGCGGGGCCAAATAGGGGGAAAATAGGTAAATCTTTAAAAATCTTCTTCTTCTCAACCAATAGAAGAATTTTGACCAAATTTGTCCTAGAGCATCTTTGGACAAAGGAGACTCAAGTTTGTATAAACGGAGGGTGTGGCCTCTTTGGGGGCAGAGGGGCGGGGCCAAATAGGGGAAGTAGAGGATTTTTTCTCTCCTACTATACAAGTGAAGGGATTTAAACCAAATGCAGTCTGAAGCTTGGTCAGGAGCATCATTGGCCAAAGGGTTCTCAGTTTTGTATAAACGGACGGTATAGCCCCCCCTCGGGGCAGAGGGGCGGGGCTAAATAAGGGGAAAAAAGGTAAATCTTTAAAAATGTTCTTCTTCTCAACCAATTGAAGGATTTTGACCAAATTTGTCCTAGAGCATCTTTGGACAAAGAAGACTCAAGTTTGTATAAACGGAGGGTGTGGCCCCTCTGGGGGCGGAGGGGCGGGGCCCAATAGGGGAAATAGAGGATTTTTTTTCTCCTGCTATACAAGTGAAGGGATTTTAACCAAATGCAGTCTGAAGCATGATTAGGGACAAAAGAATCAATTTTGTATAAACTGAGGTGTGTGGGCCTCCTTCTAAGGGCAGATGGGTGGGGCCCATTAGGGGAAATAGAGGAAAACATCAAATATCCTTCTCCTTTTGTACCGATGAAGGGATTTTGACCAAATTTGGTCTGGAGCATCATTGGCCAAAGGGTTCTCAGTTTTGTATGAACGGAGGGTATGGTCCCCCTGGGGGCAGAGGGACGGGGCCAAATAGGGGAAAATAGGTAAATCTTTAAAAATCTTCTCCTCAACCAATTGAAGGATTTTGACCAAATTTGTCCTAGAGCATCTTTGGACAAAGGAGACTCAAGTTTGTATAAACGGAGGGTGTGGGCCTTCTGGCGGCATAGGAGCGGGGCCCAATAGGGGAAATAGAGGATTTTTTTTCTCCTACTATACAAGTGAAGGGATTTAAACCAAATGCAGTCTGAAGCATGCTTAGGGAGAAAAGAATCAATTTTGTTTAAACTGAGGTGTGTGGATTCCCCTTCTTTGGGGCAGATTAGTGGGGCCCATTAGGGGAAATAGAGGAAAACATTAAAGATCCTTCTCCTTCTGTACCGTTGAAGGGATTTTAACCTAACCAAACTTGTTTTAGAGAATCTTTGGGCAAAGGGAATTGAATATTTATAAATGGAAGATGCAACTTTGTTACTTGTACTCCTTTGATAAACCTGAATGGTACTCAGCAGGTTTTAAATTGAAAAATAAAATACCAGGTGAGCTATTAAGGCCCCTGGGCCTCTTGTTTATTTTTTTTGTGAAAATGATAGAAATACCCTGTAATCGATTTCCATAATTTTCCTCATTTAGTTGTGCTTGCACAATTGTCCCAGAGAAAAAATAAATTTATTATGATTTGGCAAAAATAAGTAAAACAAATCACACAACATCAACAATCTAAACACATCTGTATGAGGAAATGATATTTATTTTACTACTGCAGATTCTTGTAAGAAGTTCTAAATAGAGAAGTATTTACGTATTCAATTTATATTAAAGTTCCTCGATGTATTCTGTGACAAATTGACAATTTACAACTTCACCTCCACATACATCAGATTTTTTACCTTAGAGAAAAGTTGTGGTTGGACGAAGATGATCATCCTTGATGACAGTATTAATATGGTACGCAAATCATGGCCACCCTCTGATGGCCCTGGCTGTTACGAGGACGTTAAATCTCAAACAAACGCAAAACATAAGAGGTGTACCTACAAAGTTTAATGGGAGAAGTGGGTGGCCGAAAGTCCACAAGTGTCATAGTCTGCTGCTGGATTAAAAGACCATTGCCTTGCGTTAACATATAGGATTATGTGTAAATCAATTTAAAAAAATTGAATTCATAAATTGCATTTGTTAAGTAAAATAAAACCAATGAAAATTAATTTTGTTTTATGTTTATTCTAACAAGAGGTCTATTGGGCCTGTATTTTTCACCTGTTACTTATTTTTGTCAGCAAGTGTATACATGTGACTTCCAGAGTTGGTCAAGGTTAGATATTAGTCTCCCACTGGTACTTCCAGTACTTCTGGTACTGTCAGTCTGCGTCACATTGTGCATGCAATATAACCTGTACAAGGTACTCATGATCTACCTGCATCCTGATGACCCTTGACCTCTGTATGTCACAGGGCAATTATCATAGACCTGTTGGACCTGTTGGAAGGTTTTGACACATTTAAGGTCAGTGACCTTGAAAATAGTTCAAGGTAATGAATTTGATTAAAATTGACAGCTCTTACGATGGCCAAAATATCATGCCCTTGACCTTGTTGGATGCTCAAAAGGAGTCGTTTGATGTCCTTAATTCATTTTAACACCTGTTCATTTGAAAACAAAATGATAATCCTTCCCCCAAGCATGCTACATGCCAAGTAACATAACCTCACGACTCTTTGTCATTCAGAAATTGTTTGAAAGTGTTATACCATCAGACCCATGTGACCTTGATAGTGGGTCAAAAAGTGATCAAACTTGATGCCCCTTCATCTAGCTTATGCTACAGTCTTCCTTCAAGAATTCCCTCTTTTCTTTGCACAGAAATTCAGGTTTACCTTCCAAATAAAAAAAATACACTAGAATTCATCCGGTTTTAATGAGGAAGTGGGAGGGTATCAAAGGAGAATGCACAGTGATCCATGGCGATGAGGATCCGAGGTAGAACCAGATATTTCTTACGAGGAAGCTGGACAAAGATTTAATAAAGTGCAAGGAATAATGAAAAGGGCAAGGGAGTTATCGGCTCTAAGCAAGACTAATGTAAATGTGCCTGCAGGTTGTGAAAACTTAACGTGAAGAGAGGACAATACATTGTTGTAAAGGCCAGACAACCGTTGATGGTAATCTTAACATTGGACTTTATTGAGGTAAGATCAAAGACAGTAGTTGATGAAAATAAAAATACTATATGGCTTGATATGTCTCTGGTACAGGTGAGAATTCAAACTTTTGATATCAATGATTTTGAAATGAGAGATAAGTGCAAAATTGACGTTATCAATAGATTCACTGACAATCCAATGGAGAACCAATGGAAGTGTTTCAACTTGTGAACAGTACATATAGGCACTTAGGTAAAATGTGAGTTAGATTAGAATTTGATGAATGCTGTCAACCAGGCTGGCCTTCCCTGAAACTTCAAGCATGAACATATCATTGGGCATCCTCAATATCCAGGGGTTACGCTCACCTTTGCTCTCTACACCCCTGGAATGTGTCTTAGCAAAATTGAAGGCTCAGTGTGCGTCACCTTGCTGATGAGACAAGAAGATCTAGACTAGTTCGATCAATTGATGTACATCAAAAGAATCTCGTGATCACCTAACGGGCTTTGAAGTTGGGCATCTCTCCTTTGTAATCTTCAAAGGACAGGTATCAGCCTAGCGATTGGTCAGGTTTTTTTACCTGAGACCAATCAAACAGCTGTCTTCGTGCCTTCAATTTTGCTATGACATATTCCAGGAGCGTAGAGAGCGAAAGTAAACGTTACCCCTGGATATAGAGGATGGTCATTGGTTATCGGGTATATAATGTAATGATGTTTGATGATGAAGTTTCAATAACAGCAGTGAAAAGAACTTGACGGACGGTCAGTAGATACTTGACACAATGGTTTGATATAAATATACAAATAAAATTAAGTTTTAAGATGTAGAAGATAGGCCTATTAGCCTCTTGACGAATCTCCACTGCCATCTCACAAGGCAGTGAAGAAAAGAATTTAAGGTCCCGTCCAAACCACAGGGACCTGGGAATATGTTACAGCTATATTTGGACCTAAACTAAGGTGTTCAAAGTAGTTTTACATGTTTATCTAGGGGTTTAGATCGACTTTCAGTAAAAATGCCATCCCCAAGGTCGGCTTACACTGATCGCAATTGCAGATCCCTCCTGCTGTAGTTGTGTCACTGTTTGCAGGGGCGGGTCCAGGTGAGGGCGTAATGGGCCATACGCCCCCCACCCCCCACCCCCC